TGTTAACTTTACTGTTTATATTTTCTACTTTAAGCCAAAGTATATTAATAAGTTTTTATACATGTTATGTATAAAACCTTAATCTTAAAATTTGCTTCTAATAAAAATGTTGCTAAATTATTTACGAGTTTGTTATAAATTTTATTAGTATTAATTATTCCACAAATTCGAATACATTTTGTAAATCATAAACAGATTATTTTAGTTAAAAACACAACACGGCAACATATAAAGCTTTATAAAAGCGAAAGCAAAATGCATAATTACAAAAAAAAATCATTAAAAAAACTTACCTGTTTTTTCCATTTAGGTAAATATTTCGCTGGAAAAACGATCGGTATAACGCAACAGAGAACAACTAATATAATTAAATATTTCATCTTCAATCCATTTAATATCAAGGTACAGAGCAGAGTGAATAAGATTTGCAATAACGGATGATGTTGGTAACGGTGATAGCAATGATGCGCGCGCGCCGGCTCGCCCGGTACTGTTATGTTGTGTTATTGAACTTGACTTTAGAGAGGCTACTTTCCCCGGATTCGCTTTACACTGGGCCACTAAACGAACGGAGTGAAAGTTACATTATTTGTATGATAAAATATACCGTTAAATAAATATAAAAGGACAGCGATGTAATATTTTAATATCTACACTAAATATAAAGAAAAAATATTTAATTGTTTGTTTGTTTGCATTGAATAGGCTACAATATCCCCGGGTGAGATGGGCTATATTTATTACTTTTTTTATTAATTCCGCGCAGACGAAGTCGCGGGTAATTGATAATTTTCAATATTCAAACATTTACCAGAAAAAGAAATGGTAAAAAAAAATTAAGACATAAAAAAACACAGCAAAATAAAACCGTGAAGTTCGTGGCCCAACGCCATCTAGACTGTACAGGCGACCTAACCAATCGCAGATCTGCAGACAGAAACAATTTCCATACCAATATCAAGTATCGAGATTCGAAATATTAAAGAAATGTTGTTAAAAACTTTCCAGTCTACCTGAAAACCTAAATACCGTACCAGCAAGAAAAGGATAAAATACCACTGTGAAATGACTTGATTACCGCACTCATAGTTGTAAAACGGTCATTTAAGGGTGCCCCTTAGTGTAATATCATAAATCAATAGAAACTGTATTCCTTTGTGAACAAAACGACTCAATAGGTTCAATTAAAAAGTTTTTAATACTTAGAGAAATTCGCATAGTAAAAACAGAGAAAAATATGTTATTATATTCGATTTAAAACAATAATTAGTAGCTTATCTGTTCTTCTAGACTATGTTATTCATCTATGTCAAATTTCTACATCTATGCAGCCGTTCTGGAGATATCTTCTAACAAACATCTATCCATCCAAACATTTTCATTTATATTCTTATTCATTTATTAACCTTATTCTTAATATATTACATTTCATATATAAAATACAAAAATATACATAATAATATATTATATTAAAAATAGAGCAACCAGTGGTCAGGGCTGCAGAGACAGGAACCTTCTCACGATGCGTGCGGTTTCTAGGATAACTGCCTTTTGTATCGGGCTCTTAATCCAACTGTGTAGCGAGAGCTTCTTGAGATGTTGGTCGAATTTATAATATTATTAAGATAATATCTCTTCTTACAACAGTCTTATAACAATGAATTATCCAGTTTTTAAGGAAATTTCACGAACATAAAGTAAACTTTGTCACAGCTAACGCCTATGAGTGCTTAAAGATATAAAAAAAAACTGATAAAAAATTTCGCATTTCGACTAATAGACGACCACTAGTTTTAGTAAATTGTATCAAAAATCTTATGAAAGGTTAAATAATAAAAGACAATACAATTATTTACTATTTAATTTATATAATTAATATTATATTGATCACCCTTTTATATACAATGTTATATACATTATTTAGGTCCATGATGCAGTTTTCATATATCAAAAGCCGGTGTAAATGCTTTACATATGTGCTAAATACATAAACAGAATCGTTTTAAAAAAATATTCAAAATCATTTAAAAGTATACAATATTGCCGTCTCTATCATCCTCAGGAAAAATTAAGAAAGAACAATAAATTATTTTAAAAATATTTCAGTAGTGTAATTTCGATGTTTAATATACAGCGTGGCCCAAAATTCAATAAGCCGGTATTTAACGTTGAATTTTGGGACACGCTGTATAATAAAATTTGTGGTAGAAAAACTGTAAACATTGAATTTTTGTCATCAGAAATCAACAGCCGTGACACTTGTAATATAGTTGTCTCTGTTTTGTTAAAGCGAATGAAAGGGATAGCTATATCTTATATGTTTGTTCCGAGTTATCTCCGAAACGGCTCAACCGATTTTCATGGGACTTCTACTAGAAGGTAGCTTACATATACGGGAGTGATATAGAATATTCGCTTTTTCTATATCTTTAAAAAAAATATAGTTTAAAACATTATTAACCCTTAATTCAGTAGTGTCCAGTGTGACGAACAACTAATTAAAAAAATCTACTGAACTAGTTTAGAGAAAATTACGTAAGTATGACTTTACTAAAAAAAAAAACATTTTTTTTTGCTGCAAAAAATTTCGTCGAATTAAGGGTTAATTAGAATCCTTTGGGACGAATGACGTGCTTTCATAACAAAGTCAAGTGTCAGATTTATTAGTGAGGTGACATAAACGACATTTTAGTTAAGCTAGTGTTGCGCCAGTACAACGACTGTCAGATTTTCTTCCTAACAATACAAGGGTCACGGCGAAGTCACGGCCAATGAAACTATTAAGTTTTTTTACGATAAAATAAATTATGAACACACTATCCATTTAATATTATAAATATTTATATAAATAATGCTAATATAAAATAATCTAAATAAGTTAAACAACATTAAATTATTTACTAATTCGCCCAAAGCACATTTTCAATTGCGATCATTTTGAGCAAGCTTACAAAATATTACACAAAATTATTTAAAAAGCATAATCACAAATATGGCAATATTCATTTCATTATAAACTCAATTAAGGTCGACTTCCACTAACACGTGACAATTTAAAAAAAAAACTTAAAAGGCTTTTTATTTTAATAAAAATATTTCACCAGTGGAAAAGATTTAACAAACATTATATTGAAATTAATTCCAAAATGCTTAAGGATATTTCTAGCCAAATTAAAATAGAATAAACTCATTTAGAACAATCTTTATGACCAAAGAAAAAAGACGTATTAAGATCTCTTTGGATATAACATATTTTCTTAGCATGTGTCTTTTGACCATTTAATTTCAGATTAATAAGTTTTGTTCGATTAATATTGTATTACATATATTAAAAAAAAAAGATTCAGAAAAGTTGTAGATAAACTCAGTAACTATAACTCTATGCAAATAAATAATAAAAATAAGACGTAAATAAGACATAAATAAAGTTAAAAATCCTAATAACTCTAAAATAATCTCATAGTGCTAATAAAATTATATTTAACATACAAAAAAAAACTATTAAAGTAAATCTCTTTTGATTTTGAATAAGATTAAAAAATTACTAAAAAAAGTGTTCGTTTTTCAAAAACAAAAAAAAGATAGCAAATAAAAAAAATTAATTTTAAGATTCAAATATAATGAGTTTTCAGTATCAAACAGAAAAATATTTAATTTCTTTGTACAAGTACGTCTACAAAGACTATCTAGACAAAGGAAACTAGTATATAAAAAAAAATCAATAATGTAATTCGGAGATTACGCTGCAATATCAGATCTTCAAAAGAGGTTCATAAGAAAAATATACAAAACATATCTTCTCTCATTCTTCACATTTCAAATTTTTAGTCTGTATTTAATCTGTCAAAACCTTTTTTCATAGACATTTGACACACTGAGAAAATATAAGTTCCAAATTCAAACGTATCTCCTGTCTCTTTCACACTCATGCACTCTCTATCTGCCTCTCTTTCTAATGCTGTCTAAATCACAAATAAAGTGGAATGCTAAATAAATACAAAGAAATTTATACTTAACCAGGATAATGAAAAGTAAAAGGTACATAAATGTATTTCCACTGCCGCGACACTTTTATTCACATACTAGTTGTTATCCGCGAATCCGTCCACTTGCCATTACAAAAATGAGTAGCCTCAGTGTTCTTCCAGACTATGTTCTATATCTATACCAAATTTCATCGAGATTCATAAAGCCGTTATAGAGATATCTTCTAACAAATATCCATCCATCTAAACCAGTGGTTCCCAAACTTATTTTGTCTACTGCCCACTTTGAGAATAAATATTTTTTTAGCGCCCCCATATTTTCACATATTTAAAAACCACTATAACTTCAACTTAAATTAATTAGTTATTGTGACCTATATATAAGGAAACTTTTACTATAACCTGCAACTTGAGACCTGCAGCGACCACAAGGGGGCGTTATCGTCCACTTAGGGAAAGACTTCTAAATCTACAAAAAATATCGTTCATTGAAAAAGTTAAATACATTTTTCCAACACAGATTTTAGGTTAAGGGTACGGATTTCCGATCACGAGGTCGGGGGTTCGAATCCCGTCACTCTACTATTGTCGTAAACCATATCCTGGCACAAGCATAGAACTTAGTTGGAATGGTCAAAGAATAATTAGTAAATTTATATATCTGCTAATATTTAAATAAAAAAAATATGAATTATTACGAATATATGTCAATACAAGTGTCACCACAGTAAAAACCTCAAAGACATTCAAAACCGTGCAAAATTATATCCATTATATCTGCCTACCCACCTTGAGAATGTTATTTAGTATATTTTTCATATATTATAGCAAAATAAAATTATGTAGTTATATATACTTCGGTGGCTATATTTTGTAGTTGTGTTATTACGTTTCAAATATACTATAAAAAGAAATTACTAATAATAGGATTAAAAAGTTAAAATTTTGAAATAAACTTAGCATTTGACGTTTAAACTTGTTTAAAAAAATCTATCGTAATAACTGCGGGTTTCTGAGACCAAAATGTCCGTTTAAAATCTTATCTCTGTTTTGATTGTTTATACAGAGATTTTGATGTCAAAAGCACACCATAAATGGTGGTTTTTAACAGTTTTAGGCATCTCTTAACTTTAAGTAAGATTTTTTCGTTTATTCAATCCATAATGTCCTTTTTTTTAGTAAATCGTGTGAATCCGACAAATATCAACTTTAACGTACACACATAAAGCACACATTCCAATAAACAATACAAGTGAAACAGATAATGGAATTGAGTTAATAATTTCCACGATTTTGAACTTTAACAGTTCTAACGTAAGGTCCATTTTCTGTTGTCTGATGTCCATTTCAGTTATGTTCAATTTATCCTTTTTGTCGTGTATCACTATACAAAGGCACTTGTTTGTATTCAGGGAATGGATACAGCACCAGATGATCTGCTGTCTTGTACCATGGGATTAAACCATTCTGTAAAAGAAAAAAAATCAACTCTATGATTTTTTGTGTTCCTTTACATATATTTCATGATCGATAAAAAAAGCTCAGCTCAGCTCACATACGTCCCCACCGAGGGGCTCGGAGCCTTCCCTAAGTTAAGGGTGATTAGGCCATAGTCAACCACGCTGGCCAAGTGCGGGTTGACTTCACACATATCCTCTGAATTACTTCTCAGATATGTGCAGCATCACGATGTTTTCCTTCACCGTAAGAACGTTGGGTAAATGTACATATGTTAATCGGAAATGGAAAAACACATTAGTACATGGCGGGATTCGAACCCAGGGCCTGCAGATTACAAGTAAGTGCTTGATCCTTGAGTCACCAACGCTCTATTTTTTAATTAACACTTACCAAATTAGTTCTCTTATTAGTGCCTCGGCCAAAACCATTCCAGTGATTACCAGCAACGCCTATCAAGTCTCCCACCTGCAAACAAAAAATATATTAAATAATTCAAACTTTCGTGAGACATTATATTGAGCGAGTGAGCTGAGGGCCGCGTCCGCGAAATAATACCAGTACCACCCACCCTGATGAATGGCCCCCGATGGGCTCGAAACTAGTCGGTGCCGCCACCGGACGTATATACGTGAGTGTTTAGCCGTGTTTATATATCAGTTTAAACAATATATTAGTCACAAATATCTTACTTATATTATAAAGTTTGTATGGATTGATGTTTGTTAGAAAGTGTCTCCAGAACAGATACATGGATTTCGTTGAAATTTGGTATAGATGTAGAACACATAGGCTACTCATTATATTTTTATCACCGAACAGACGAATTCACGGGCGACAGCTAGTTACTAATATTATAAATGCGAATGTATAGATGAATGGATGGATTTATGTTAAAAGAAATCTCTAGAACGGCTGTATGGATCTCGTTGAAATTTGGTATAGATGCAGAACCTAGTCTAGAAGAACTCATAGGCTACTTATTAAGTTTTTTTTACCTGGAAGGATATTTCATCTTTAGCATTAGCTGTATGCGGCATGAGAGCGCGGCGGTCGTGCGCGTTCTGTCCGCCGAAGTAGTAGATGTCGTCCAGCGAGAAGAAACTCTGCGACGCGTCCACTCTGTTCGTCTGCATTATCTCGTACGCCACGCGACCCACCTGCACACAATCACCACAATTACACACACAATCTCTCACATAATAGTTAATGAGACCCTTAGTGTAGATTTAATACGAGAAATGTCCACTAAGTTACTGCTTAAGTAATAATTATACAATAGTTAGTACGAGAAATCTATATCAACTATGTAAATAAAATTAATTTGTCCGAACGATATTTTGTTACTGTTTAAAAACTAAAACTTCATATTTCATGGACATTAGTCTCGGTCATCACCAAAATTTACCTTTTATTGTCTCCCTTAAACCGTGTTATAGTGTTAGGAAGAAAATCCGACACTGTGCCGGTGTACTGGCAAAACACTAGCCTTACTAAAATATCAACGTTTGTGTCCCCTCACTAATCATTCTGACACTTCACTCTATAATGAAACCGCGCGATTCCCACCAAAGGATTTTAAGTAATAATGTTGTGAAGAAGAAGAAAGTAGTGGTTGTAGTATAATGACCTGGCTGCTGAATGTGCAGACAATGTAGTCGCATGTGGAGAGCATGTGCAGGTCGACCAGCAGACCGGCCAGCGAGAGCGGGGTGTAGCGGCGGTGTGTCGCGGCTGTCTTCGCGATCGACGCGTCCCCTATGAACTCGTACTCCGGGTACTTCTTGCGCGCGTCCTCCAACACCTGGAATGTTGCACGCACATTATTCAGCCCGAATGGCAAACTGTTTACTAAGAAATAAAAAAATCTTATATATATAAATATTTCGTGTCATGACGTATGTTCACAATAAACACCGAAACTACTGTACCAATTCTTATGAAATTCTGTAAGCAATCGTAATTTAGTCCAACTTGGGAAATAGAGTTTTATTTGAATTATTCATCTTTTTTTTTCATTCTGCGTGAAGAAGTCGCGGGCAACGGCTATATAAATATAATATTTTAAAATTAACAAATTTTATCATTACATTTCAAAATTACTTAAAATCTGGGGCAACTTACAATGAAAATATATACATTTTAGATGGGAATAAGGTAGACAGACGTCTGATAGAGATTTATCAAAGAGTAGTCCTACAATGTGACGTAGGAAAAAGGAAAGGATGATGATGTTGATGATGGTAAAGATGATTTCAATATACTTACATTTGCATCATCAGAAGCAAGGTATACCCTCCTGGTATCAACAGGGCGGGTGAGCTCGAGCTGGTCGTAGTAGTCTTTGACATGAGTCATGTACTCGTGGATATGATGGAAAGCGGCTTCCGTGCCCACTTTATCAGTGCGCCGAATATGTACCCTGGAATTTATATAAGAATAGCTTTAAAAAACAGGTAATTCTCAGAACACAGGAAGAGAATATTTCCCTTTCCTATGCGTTCTCTTCCATCAAATCCTTATAAGAAAAGTGTGGTATGTGAGAAGGGTAATTAAATGTGTAATTTACCCTACAATTGGGGACTTGAAGTTCATATTGGCGATGGTCTCGTTGATCGCCTTCTGCATGGTGGTGCGCGGCTTCAGGATGTACTTCAGCATCTGACCTATCCACCAGGAGGCTGGGTCACCGTTGAACCTCACTATCCTGACCACAATGAACGGAACTATTTAATATTCAATATTATTTAAAAAAAAAACGGTTTGAAAAGATGACCTGTGAAAGAGGAATTGAAGGATTTCATATTTGATTTATGCTTTTTGGGTAACAGATAAAAAAAAATTAAAAAATACATTTTTTTTTTGGAAAATGATAACTATAAGTAATATAAAAATTAAACAAACCTATGCATACCTATGTGCTAGATCCTTCGGTATAGCAAGCGGCAGGAACTTTGGCTTCTGAGAAATTGAATCTATGAACGGTAGGGACACCACCTTCGCGTCGTAGCTCACTGAAAAACAAACTTTATATATTAATATCTTACGGAAATCTTAATAAAATTATAAAAGTAAATGTTTGGATGGATGGATGTTTGTTAGAAGGTATCTCCAAAACGGCTGAACGAATGTCGATGAAATTTGATATACATATAAAACACATCCTAGAAAAACACATATGCAACTAATTGTTTTTTAAATCCCACACGAACAGAGTCGGGGGCAACAGCTAGTAAAATATAAACCTATATTTCAAATACAAAAGAAACACTTTCACAAAAACATAACTCACCTGGCCACGGCATAACTTTATCATCATACGAAGTGGTACAGCTATCTGAGATTGGATGGAACACGTAGTCCCAACCCTTACTGTTATATCGCCAACCCTTAGAGTTAAGGATTAGTGTCCTTTCGGTCGCATATGCGAATATCAAGCAATATACGATATGATGTAACTGACAACCAAAACCACAACCCTGGAATAAAAAAATATAAAAATAAGTGACAAGTTTAGAGTACCTACGAATTTTAGGAATAAATTGAACAGGACAAGTCGATGGCAGTGAAAGTGTTAAACAGAAGTAAAAAGAGAATTCCTACATCAATGTATTTACGCAAAATAGCAATGATTTCGATCAGTAATGTGTAATTAATTTTCTTCCTTGAATTATCATAAAAGGTCCCGGAGGCCTAATTTAGTCCTCTTTCCCTTCCCACCCTTTTTCTTATCAGGAAAAGATGGGAAGTGGAAGTGGACTTTCCGAATGAGAGGATGCATGGAAAGAGAAATTATTTTTTCTCCTCCGTCAATTAAAGATCGGCAACGCATATACAATTGCGTATGCCCATTGACAACGGTCACTTCGCTATTTCAGCGATTTCAGGTGGCCGCTCTCTCGTTTGCCACCTTACACTATAAAAAAGGCATATTGTTTTTTATAACTTAATTGCATAATATAATATTACCAAACTCTTTACTGATACCAGGAAAACAGAAAAAGTGAACAAATAATTAAAAAGTATAATAAAAGTGCAAGTGATTACAACCAACATGTAACCGAGCCAATAATTGTTCACTTCACCCTAATCCCTACCATAGAGACAGACAAAAGAAAACAGAGTCACAATTTTTAAGTACCATCGTATACACTGCTGATTTTAAATAGGCTGTGGATTAAACATTTTTTATAGTATTAAGCATTTTCAAAGCTTATTAAGTTTAATAAGGGATAAGCATATTGTTGCCAAACTGAAAATTTATAACTACGTATGAATTTAATAATATTGTAAAATAATCGATATTTTGCGAGCGAGAGAGATAGCTTGAGATAATTTTTAGGGTTCCGTACGTTATAGGAAAAAAACGGAACCCTTATAGGATCACTTTGTTGTCCGTCCGTGTCTGTCAAGACCCTTTTTTTGGATACTCATGTTTTTTCCGTCAAAGTTATGTCTACAATAATGCAAAGCACGTCACTTTGGGTTCGGTTTATAACAATTTTGTTAATATAGGCATCAAATATATTAAAATTTATCGTGTAACATTTATTTCTATGAATATATAAATAAATAATATAATATATAATATGCTAGCTATTTAGTAATGGAAGTAATGGAATATTTAAATTATATATAATAAAAGTGTATTCACTACATATAAACATAGTTACGTGTGTACGAATACTAGTTCATTCACCCTACCATGATGTTTACCATCAAAAATTCACACCTAACCAAACATAGTTGACGGTAAATTGTGACAGATGACGAAACATGTCGTCGACCTGTCTGCATCTAGTATACACAAACATATAATATAACAAAACTCAGTAGAGTTTTAATTATACCAAAATTGAGATTTGATTTTTCAAAAACTATACAAAGTCTAATCTTACTAATATTATAAATGCAATTTAGATGGATGGAGTATGTATGGAGATGGATGTTTGTTTGAAGGTATCTCCGAATGTTAACGGATCTTGATGAAATTTATCACAGATGTAGTACATAGTCTGGAAGCATAAGCTACTAAGATTTTTAATTTATCAGACGGAGTCGCAGGCGACAGCTAGTAAATAACGGACTAAAACATAATTTCTACTTAGTAACCATACTTAAATAAAGACAAACACATAGCAACACTCATAAATAGACAACGTAAGCGTTTCATTCATCATTGTAAGCTAGAAATAGTACTTTATTTCCATGCCAAACAATAACCATCGCTTTACGATCGAACATTATTATTTAAATGCGTGTAAACTGTTTATGTTTACTTTTAAAAATAAAGCCTTGACGTTCACCACACACGGAACGTAGCGATTAAATGCGCTCGTGTACAGAGGCCCTAATATGTCATACATATTTTCAAAAATGTCATTTTTCATCCTGCCCTTTTCCCTAAGGAATCATCATCATCAGCTCACTATACGTCCCCACCGAGGGGCTCGGAGCCTACCCTAAGTTAAGAGTGATTAGGCCATAGTCAACCTGGCCAAGTGCGGGTTGGTTGACTTGACTTCCCTAAGGAATGACGGCACAATATTTAATACTCTTCCATATACAATCGAACCTCAAAAAGCGAGAAACTTTAATACGCGAGAGTCATATCCTATCCAAAAAGACAACCTACACCAGTAAGAAGCGGGTTAGAGAGAAACCTCTATAAGAAAAAAGAATATCACGGTCCCCTGGATTCTAACTTATCCAGATTTCACTCTATATAATACCTGAATCCACTTCCTTCTTTTACACAATCCATACTTTCTTTAATCTTCTTTTACTTTTTTTATTTTATATAAAAAATATTAGAACATTTTTCCTAATTTCCTAATGTTTCTTGTACCATCCAAGTAAGCTCTACACTTATTATATGAGTTACAAGTCGAATGGCGGGATTTGAACTCACGACCTAAACGGAAATCCGTACCCTTAACCTTTAAGTTATTAGCTCTCTGAATAATTTGTAGCTAACATTTAATTTCAATCTACAAAAAGATATAAGTTTACAATAATTATAAATTCCTACCTTATTCAAATTACATATGACCTTCCTAGCGTCCCTACAATCAGGGGGGTTCTGCAAATGCTTCAATCTTCTCTGTACCAACTCGCTCACATTTGCCGCTTCTGTTTCCCGCCACTCGTTGTACCCGTCTAATTCTGGAAGCTTCTCTTGGTCCGATAACAACGACCTACAAATATATGACAGTGTCTACTACTATTATATAAAAAAAATAGAAGTATTTAAAATTATTAGAGTAAAGGAAAATTATTTCAATGTAATTCTTACGGGAGAGCGTCGGTGGCTGTGGGATTAAGCACTTGTCTTGTAATCTGCAGCTCCTGGGTTCAAATCCCGCCATGTACCAATGTTTTTCGATTTACATATGTATTATACATTTATTTATTTTATTTTTGACTATTAGCCATTGATTTAAAACTACCCTGCGAGTTCACTTCAACACATAAAAATACTAGCACGGCATTTCTCAAGATATACCTTCCTTACAACCAAAAACATACCTTTTCCTATCAGCTACTTGGTTGAGAATCGCTTGCAATGAATCCGCCTTGACCTCATCCGCGATAAGTTTTCCAATCTCATGGTTGATGTAGTACCATATTTCTTTGGTGTTGGAATAAATACGTCGTCTGAGATTCTCATACTCCTCACTCGGGCCCTGACCTGACTCTAATAGAGACGGGTCCAGATCTTTGAGGTTACCGTTTAACCTAGAACAAAACATGAGTTACACCTATGACAATAGAGGAACAGACTAGGCAAAACATTCTGACACTTTTCGTAAGGATTTGAGGTCACTTGGAGATGACATTCACCCATGTGCATATTATGTTGCAATGCACGAGGTTTACGGATCCTGTCAAATAAAAGTCAAAGAGTCAACGAAAAGGATTGATGTTTACATAAAATTTGTTCAATTAAGTTAAAGATTACCCTTGGCTGAAACACTAGGGACCGATAGTTACAGTACGGCTGTGCTCTAAAGTATGTATTTATCATTCAAACATAGTAATCTTACTAATATAAATGGATGGATGAATGTTTGTTTTTTTGCACGAATTGGCCCAGCTCGTCCGGTGAAATACCACGACCACAAAGAAGACAGGCGTGAAGTGGAAGCAATTCCGCGTTTCGTCTGATGAGTGTGCGTTCCGGACGCCTAATTTAGTCCTCTTTCCCTTCCCATCCTTTTCTTTATAAGGAAAGGATGGGAAGTGGAACTGGACTTTCCGGATGAGAGCATGCAAGGAAAGGGAAGATATTTTCTTTCTGTGCATCCTCTCCTCCGTTGATAAAAGGTAGACAACGCATATACGATTACGTATGTCTATGGGCAGCGGTCACTTCGCTATATTAGCGATTTCGGGTGGCCGCTCGCTCGTTTGCCACCTTAACATATAAAAATAAAAAATAAATTGCTAGAAGGTATCTCCAAAACGTCCGCATAGATATCGCTGAAATTAGTTATAGATGTAGAACAGATTTCTAGAACACATAGACTATTTAATTTCTTTTTAAATTTCGCGTACAGAGTCGTGAGAGACATCTACCATTGGATTTCGAAACCAACATCTCTGTATAAAACATATCGTCATCCCTGTCATTATGTTAGACAAAACAGAGATAGCAATATTTTTAAACGGAGATTTTAGTCTCGGAAACTCACGGCTAGACAAGTAATTGGTTATCTATTATTTGTTAACTAAGATAGTTAATATGTATAGTGATGAAGTAAGAGATTATTGTTCTATTGAACTTTTATAGTTAAGGTCATCAGTTAAGTTACAATGACCGATAAAGTCTAGTTTTATATTTTTTTAATAAATTATTTTTTTATTATCATTTGTGTTGTAATATATTGACATGTTTTCCTCAGTATCGAGGATTTTCCTTTTAAAATGTATAATTTTAACATAAAAAATTACATTGTCATTTCTTAGTTATGTTACTACTAGCTTTCGTCCGCGTGGAACTAAAAAAAGGCAAAATAAGTAAATGTATTCTTCCAGGCTATATTCTACATCCAAGCCAAATTTTAAATTCCGTGCAGTCGTTCAGGAGATAACTTCTAACAAAAATCCATCCAAACACTCACAATTATAATATTGGTAAGTTTTTCTTAAAAGGAAAAATTGTAGTTATTTTATCAGCAACGCAAATACGTCATCTGTACGAAATATGATATTTTACGATATTACATACAAACAATTTATTTTTATTAATATGTGTAGAAGATAAATAGATTATTTGCTTGATTTTTTTTGGCTACGGTTTTACATGACTTATGCTAACAATATCAATGAACGCTGTACGAATATTGAATGATTACGTTTTCAAACCTATATCAAAAACAACGGAACGACCAATTGCATTAATAAAACTATAATTTTATTCGCAATTAAAAAAGAACCATCCCACAAAATGGACGTCAAAGCAAAGACCATGGATAGAGAGACAAATTATACTGAAACAGTCCGCATAGAACTTTCTAGAGTCCGTTGCGAGATTACAGCAATTAGTTCCTTTGTACATTCCCACAGGAGAAATTGGACAGACTATGAGATGATGAGACAATCCTACAAACACACGTATTCTGTATATATCGAAAAACCGACATAGTATAAAAATAATTTACATTTAAACAACTGTTGAATTTGTGTAATGAACTCGTCTATTTACCTTTCAAGGTTACTCACTATGTGTTCAATTACTTTTGTCCAAGAAGTAAAAATAAGGTAAAAATTCGCTTCCGATGTTAGCTATGCTTTTAAAAGAAACGTAGAATCTATAACCATACGTAGGGCTACTATTTTTTTTATACATCATAAGGTGGCAAACAAGCGAGCGGCCACCTGAAATCGCTGAAATAGCGAAGTGACCCTTGCCCATAGATATACGCAATTCCATATGCGTTGCCTACCTTTAATCGACGGAGGAGAGGACGCACAGAAAGAAAACATTTCCATGCATCCTCTCATCCAGAAAGTCCACTTCCACTTCCCATCCTTTCCTTATAATAAAAAGGGTAGGAAGGGAAAGAGGACCTCTAATTTAAGCCGAAATATTCAAGTATACGTCTATTGAAAGTAGCCAGCCCTATACAGTGTAAGCAACGTATGTTTTGTTGCAGACAGGCTACATAGTTTGGAATGGGGACGTCGGGAAATTTCAGCTAGCTTCTATTGTACCCAAGTTTCATAACGACGCAGTTTCCAGCCACTCGACACACAAGCGAGCTCAATAAGCCGGTACAAGTTTTAACAACAACCCTATATCTATATTATGCTTAGCAAAAAGATATCTACAAAAAATATTTAATACTGTATTTTATAAATTCAATAGGTTCATAAAAAGCAACACAAAAAGATTACCATGAAGAAAAAAATGCTATTTGCACATTGCCTTAAATATAATCACAAAAACTTTTAGGCATCATTTTTGTTATAAAGTAATATTATTTGACAGAATTACTATCTTAAGATGAAAAGATATAACATAAATTGATTGATTCTTGCCCAACTGACTAGTTTGTCGCCCGACTCTGTCCGAGCAGCATTAAAAAAAACTTAATCAGTAGCCTATGTGTTCTTCCTAACTATGCTCTACATCCGTGCCAAATTTAATTAAGATATGTTTAGCCGTTCTAAAGATACCTTCAAACATCTATCAATCCATCTATACATTCGCATTTATATTAGTAAGATCTCTTCGGTCCATATGACATCGCATTTTCGGAGAAAAGTCAAACAAGCTATACTTTTCGACATCCTTCATGTTTCAAGTTTAAGGTCAGTTCAACTTACCCCGATGACTTCCTGATCTGAGCGATTAGGTTGCTGTGCTGCTGACGCAGCGACTCCAGCTGCGAGGACAGGCTCCTACACCGCTCTTGATATTCCAGTACGTCGTCTGTCACGCCATTGCATCTGGAAGATATAATCGTATTAGCAAAATCCTCTCCTCACATTAGAGATATTTATTTTTTATCATTTCTCAGAAACTTTGCTAATAAAATAATGCTTACTAATATAGTTTGTACGTTCAAATTTCAATAACTATAAATGTGATTTGAAAAATTATATTTGTCGTCCGAGCGGGATCAAAAAAAAATTAACCTATGTGTTCTTCCAGATTATGCTCTATATGTATGCCAAATTTCATCAAGATCCGTTGAGCGGTTCTGGATATACCTTCAAACATTCATACACCTATCCATCTAAACGTTTAAATTATATTCGTAAGAAATAAGAAGTAAAATTTACTACTACAATTATTAAGCCAAGTTACTACTAAAGTACATGTCAACGTCTTAGGAGCTGGACAGAAATAACAATGGTAATAAATGCGCTTATGCCTAACAAGTTTATATGATTAATTATTCAAGACTGAATAATATCACAAAAACGTTGCAATACTATTAAACTAATTAAAAGCGACTAAACTCATCTCCACGATGTCACACCAAAATGTTTAATTTAATCTAATATGTCATAACTTCAAAAAGTATGCCAAATGAGGTTACAATGTCAGTCGTATTGATCTTTGACGTCATATTTTTATCAAACGTCAAGTATCAAGATGAATCTCGGGGTTACTCATTAAGAGCCAACGCACACTAGAATTTTAGTCGGCCGATAGTTTGATCGTGTGAACAACATTATGCTCATGTAATCGGTTTAATGCGCACCTCCATACGCTTAAACTATCGGCCGACTAAAGTCTCTAGTGTGCGGGAACTCTTACATAGATGTAACCGAGCTGAACACTGAGCTTTTAACAAACTAATGCAGTCTTAAAATAATTTTGTATAATTTCTAGTCAAGTAAGTGACCTAAATATTTCCAACCACGATTATAAACGTAACTGCCAATTGTTTTACAACTAACTGTCGCCCGCGAGTTCGTTCGCGAGGAATTAAAAAAAATATATTAGCTTGTGTGTTTTTTCAGACTGTGTTCTACATCTATGCCAAATGTCAATGAGTTCCGTTGAGCCGTTCTGAAGATACCTTCTAACAAAAATCCATTGATCCCCCAAACATTCGCATCTTACAAATACTATAAATGCGAATGTTTAGATGGATTGATGTTTGTTTGAAGGTATCTCCGGAACGGCTTCATGGGTCTTGCTCAAATTTGGCTTAGATGTAGAACATAGACTGGAACAACACATAGGCTACTAATTAAGTTTTTTTTTACTCCACGCGTATTGAGTCGCGGGAGACAGCTAGTTTGGGGAGATAATAAACGAGTATTTAATTTTGTAGAATAGAACTTAAATACTGGTTTAATATCTTTAGAATAAGTCTATTTTTAATAAATTTTTCTATAATTTTTTGGAGTTATAAGGAAAAACATGTAGAATAAGTTAACATACGCTTTCAATATTTTCTTACACGATCCGTTATGTTAGTAAAATACATAACGGAAAGTTACATGAACTCCCTGTTGCTATATTTAAGTTCAAAATCAAATAGACTATGTCACCGTCAAAGTACGCCGTCACTTTCTAATTTACCTAGTTTGGACACAGTAATATTTTGACAAGACAGTTATGGGCCTTAGTATATTTTCATTTGATTGTAATATAAACAAATTCTTCAGTAAAAAGTAATTCTAATAATATTAAAGTAAGGGGTGACAATAATCCGTGGGAATCCAAGGATGTATATCTAGAAATACGATAAATTATATGAAAAGAAAACTGACATGTTTTATAAAAACATCCTGTATATATGACAGATCCTTTTATAATCTATCTTCTCACTAATATTATAAATGCGAATGTTTTGATGGATGTTTGTTAGAATGTATATCAAGAACAGATACATGGATCTTAATGAAATTAAGTATAGATATAGAACACGGACTGGAAGAACACATAGGCTACTAATTAAGTTTTTTCTTAATTTCGCGCGGACGAAGTCGCGGTCAAAAACTTGTAATCTATATATGCACAAAACTAATCATCATCATCAGCTCAGTATATGTCCCCATCGAGGGGCTGGGACTAAGATAAATGCACGTATGTAAATCGGAAAACACATTGGTATATGGCAGGATTCGAACCTAGGTTCTGCAGTTTACACATCAAGTGCTTAAACCTTTGAGCCACCGACATCATATACAAAACTAATCATCAGCCTTTTATTCTGATCTCTTATCTCTTTCATTCTCTTTGAAAAAACTGAGATAGTAATATATTTTGTAAAGACGTCCCTACAGTCTAAACTCTCCGTTAAAATTATGGAATGTATTTACAAAATTCGTCTCATCTACCTGACCTTAACAAAGTGGAACTAATGGTCAGCAACCATGACTTTCCCCTATACTAATGTCACGGATGTAGACAAGGACAAACTAAACTACCCATCGCTCATTATTTCGATTTGGTCGTTAACTTTCCGTGTAGATAATAGTCTGATACTGCTTACGCACGCTACCTTTACTTATAATTATTATAAACTAGCTATCGCCCGCGACTCGGTCCGCGCGGAATAAAAAAAAACAATTAGTAGGCTATGTATTCTTCTAGACTATTTCCTATATGTGTGCCAAATTTCATAGAGATCCATTCAGTCATTCTAAAGATATCTTCAAACAAGCATCCATCTAAACCAGTCTTTCCCAAAGTGGGCGATAACACCCCCTTGTGGGTGCTGCAGGTCTCAAGTTGCGGGTTATAGTAAAAGTTTCGTTTAGAATTCTCCGTTAATATACATATATAGGTCACAATAATTAATTAATTTAATTTGAAGTTAAAGTGGTTTTTAAATATGTGAAAATATGGGGGCGCTAAAAAATATTTATTCTCAAAGTGGGCAGTAGATAAAATAAGTTTGGGAACCACTGATTTAGACATTCACATTTATAATATTAGTGAGAAGTAAGATTCATTTTCAAACAGTAATTTGTATAAATTCTGACCATTTATTTTTTTCTTACGGTTAAGAAAAATTTTGTGATGCAACCTGCACATATCTCTGTGAAATTCAAAGATATGTGCAATCAACCAACCCGCAGAGAGCCAGCGCGATTGACTATGGCCTAGTCACACCAAACTAAGGGGAAGACTCCAAGGCCTTCAGTGGGGACATGTAATGACCTGATGATGATAATTTATTATTCCACGTGCATAATAATTGTTTTTAAAAACATCGCAAAAATTACGGCCAGTAAGATTTTTTTCACTTTTTCAAATATTTAGAAAAAAAATTGATAATAAAGCCAAGTGATATTGTCAAATAATATTAGTTAATTTTATACAATTAATATGTATATTTTACGATAAAGAAAAATTATTAAACTTAAAATATTTTGCATTTTACCAACAAATCTGCAGTTTGTGTGGTGAAAATATTTCTGATTTAAAAAAAATATATACCTAACCTGCTCTATACCTTTTAATAACATATGTAGACTATAGTTATAAATAATTCAATAGGAATTTTTACACACGCAACCGTGAATTTGGTCTTGACAAACTTCGGATACGCTTAAATATGTAGCAAACATTCTTTGTCAAAATGTTATGCATTTTTTGTGTACATTACACGGTTACGCCAAACAATAACTTCGAATGCGAAGTATTTCATAGCTATCGTAATTTTAATGATGAACGGAAACTTAGGTAATTTAAGTTAAATTACTATTATTGTTGACATTTTGATATAAATCCTTTTGTTATGCTGATTTCTCATACATTTATTAAATCTTCGTATATTTAAACCCATAATTTTATCTTCAGAAAACCTACTAATATCATAAATGCGAAAGTTTAGATTGGATTGTTAGAAAGTATCTTCGAAACGGTTCAACAGATGTTGATGAAATTTGGCTTAGACGTAGACATAGTTTGGAACAACACATAGGCTTCCGTATGGACGGTGTCGCGGGCGACAGCTAGTTGATGATAAAATAAGAATAGGTTAAGGTGATATTTTAATATCTAATGATTAACAAAGATTAAAAATTAGACTCACTACAGGTTTATGATTATTAAAAATATGTATTTTTATTAAATTGTAATAAAAAAATCACAGTAGCATTTAAAAATAATTAAATTAATCTTGTAAAAAAATAACAATCGTTAAACCAATAAAAGTTGGCTGCAGCGATTAAACAATTAATGTTGTTAGTAATCGAGAATCTAACGAAAAAAAAAATAGCACGTGAGAAATAAATATCCTTCACATTTCATTCTTGGTTCAATAATATTTACAAATAAACAGACAAAAAAAAGAAATTCATTTTGCACATTGAAAGACTATATTGTAGAATCTTTGGCAAATAATCGTGTGATAGCCATACGATAGCTTGAAACAAAGTTAGAGGTTCACAAACCGAAGAACAAAAACCAGCTAAATTAAAAAAAAAACGTAGAGACCACAAAAATTTTGAATCTGTGGTCTAAAATCGATTTCAATATACTTATACCCAAACACTGGTGACTAATAAAACCGAACAAATTGCTTGCGAAAAAAAAACTCTAGCCCGAAATACAATATGTAACCATGGAGAATTTGAATTTCGAAAGGTGGCAACCCTCGCGAATCAATATCGGTATACATTTCAATGCAAGTTACATACGGGTCATGGAATATTTACCTCAATGCCAATGTCTTTTGACTAAAGATCGTTGAACTAGAATTATGTAATGTTTGAAAATATTACGTATGTTTACAAAATTCGGTAAACAAAGACACGTTACATTTTGCCGTTCAATAAACGAATTTTTAATTTAAGAAACATTTTTCTATTTATATTTTTTACATTGGCCGAAAATTGTTTAAAGCCTTAATATTATATTTAAAACAAGAAAATTGATAGAGAATTAACTAATCAATAATATAACAAAAACATCTGTAAACGTAAACTCTATCTGTAAGTGAACAAACCATTAGGTTCTTGTTGACTAAAAATATATCGCGCGGAATTAAAAAAAACTTAATTTATAATCTATGCTTTCTTCCAGACTATATTCTATATCTATGCCAAATTTCATCAAGATCCGTTCAGCCGTTCTGGTGATACCTTCAAACAAACATCCATCTATCCAACTAGCATTTATAATATTAGTAAGAAGAAACATGTATACATAAAATAATATGTTGCGTAAACGTGCAATCTTCAAGTATGCGAAAGACGAAAATAAATAATACGAAAAATATTGCGTTAAGCGCATTACTACGAAATGCTGCGTATTGAATTATTTACGACCCATTCCGATGTCCCGATAATTTAGGGCATTTATTTACGACTGTGTTCATACATAAAATGTATATAATAATTTATATTCAAGAGAATTGATATAAAACTGTACATATAACACTAACGTAAACATGGAAACTAGCCTTCTTATATACAGTCTGCTTGAAGCTGTATTCTTACACAACTAAAAACCGTGGTCTGTGAATGCCTGACGTCTACTTGAGATGCTAGAAATGGTACCAATTATTAAAAACAGGCGAGGCAAGGCCCTTCCAGTTATTCAAAGGTTTTTAGTATATCTTTGATAGTACAATTAATCCTTCCCGATAGTCTATGGTCTCTGTTTATTCATCATCATCATAATCAACCTAAATTTATCCACTGCTGGATGTAGGCCTCCCCTATCGATTGCCACGATGCCCGATCCTATGCTGCCCGCATTCAGTGCACTCCCACAACCTTGACCAGGCCATCGGTCCATCGTACGGGAGGTCTACCTACGCCGCGTCGACTCGTCCGCGGTTCATCATCATCATCATCAGCTATACGTCCCCACCGAGGGGCTCGGAGCCTACCCTAAGTTAAGGGTGATAAGGCCATAGTCAACTACGCTAGCCAAGTGTGGGTTGGTCGACTTCACACATATCTTTGAATTTCTTCTCAGATATGTGCAGGTTGCATCACGATGTTTTCCTTCACCGTAAAAACGTTGGATAAACGTACATATGTACCCGTCCGCGGTTAGTCTATGTTAATTGTGAGTTGTGTTCCTTGTTACATACCTTAGTGGTGATATGACGAGGTATGTGACAACAATCCACACAAAGAGCAGTACAACAGCAACCCGCTTCCATTTGGCTAAGTACATCATCAGGTAGTCATTGAATGTTGCGTGGCTGATAGGATACTGCTTCATGATAACCGACACATTGTCACTTCTGTGTCCACACCTGAAACAATGTCACTCTTATTATTATTACTACTACTACATAAACTAGTAATCTAGTAGTACTGATAATGGTAGCAGTAAGGACTACTGTTTTCGAAACTCTTACTGCCATTTATTTTCTATGAAGGTCAGACAAGGACTACTCCAGCCAAATCGGCAAAATCTTTATGTTACTAGCTATCTGCAGGAGCATATATTCCGGATCAGAGTGATATGAATATTTTGTTCTTGACTGAATCTGTCTGATGATTTATAGCATTTTTACTTTAAATTCTTATTTCTACTGGAGGTTAAAACCTATTTTGTAGTGCAATCCAAAGATAAGACAATACTAATATTGAAAAGAGGAAAAGTTTGTATTTTTGTATACACAAATAAACTCAAAAACAACTGTACTGAGTTTTATGTTCTTTTTCCATTAGTAAGTAACATTACCACATAATAACATAAACTATATTTATTACCAGATATTCTTGTAATTCCTAATAGACAAAGTCACATGAAAAGCTTGTTTTTTTATGTAATTAAATCTTAAATAGAATTTAAAGTTCACCACCCTTACTACACTTATCACACAGATCATAGAAAATAATATTTATATTGAGTTAAAACAGTTTGTAAAAATGAGAAAACATTTTAAAAGAGCAAATGCATTTTACATGTTCATTAATATCTGATAACAAATGGCTGATTTAATTAACTTTAGGAACTAGTGCAGTTGAGTTGTAAATATGAAGTGACATATATAGCATTTACAATTTTTACATTTCCAACATATAATATCAGTCCTAATTTAAAAAGGGGCGTCTACACATTACATTGAAAGTTGGTATAGCTTATTAGTATTATAAATGAGAGTACAAAGTGATATAAATAAATTTAGTAATTAATATGAAAAAGTTATTGACAATATATAAATCCATAGCAAAGTAATATTATTAATAAAGTAAATAATTACATGAGTAAGTGTTTAATATAGAATTTAATATAAATTTAACTATGTTCTTGTTGGATATAAACTCATGTGAACACTCTCGATATAAACGTATGATATCAGACACAAACTAACTCAGGATACAGCCCGGATACCGACAATTTAGATCAAATCTTTCTAATAGAACATAGAACACAATTCATGCCCCACATCGCAGTATACATATTTTTCAACATAAAAAAACATAGATGTCAAAATGTGAAACACAAAAATTAATGTTAATGAGTTAGACAAGTTAATCAATTATAATAAACATATTTAATGGTATCGAAAAACGATTTACCTCTTAGTAGCAACTTGTAAGATATACGCAGTTAAAAAAGGTCACAAATTCTATTAGTTTTAATGAATTAAATCACAATGTTACTCTGCATTTACTTTTAAGATTTTATCTAATTTTAATATAAGAATATAACGTTAGACACTAGTAGAAACTAAAAACGAACAAACTCAGCACTTAATGAGCAACTATTGGAAATTGGACAGAGAAAATATTCAATTCAATGACAGAACAAAATGACAGAGGCATAGAGCTTGAAATTTATGGATCGACAAAGTTATCTGAACCGGTGGCCATAAGTTAAAGCAAATTATGACGGATCACTAGCGCCTTTCTGTCAATTTCAAAAAAGTGTCATAAGATCTTTTTCTTTCATCAACCAGTCATTTGTCAAATAGATCTATACTCCGTCTATCTCTCTGTTCTTTGCTAATTAATCTTTTAATCTGCCCTTTTTTCGTTTTCAATTACCTTCAACCTTGACGTTGGCGAAATCATCGAAATTAAACGATGGGGTCCACTAGCAACTAAAAGAAGAAGAAGAAGATCTTTTTCTTACTTTTACATCCTTTCCTTTCGGTTTTACATATTTCTAACAGGACTGACCAGAACTGACCGTGATAACAGCGCCTATGACATCGTTCCAGATATCCTTGTTTGACTATAGCTACTAGCTACTGTTAAGAAAAGAGGTTCACCAGGAAGTATATTTGAACATTTAATATTTTTTAATTTAAAGCTGTCTTTTATTTTGATAGAACTAACTTGGAAATAACCGCGATAGCAGCGCCTCTCTTACAGGATCAGATAAGCTTGTCGCACTATAAATGACAATGACATGATCATTCTTTTGACGTCCTAGACGTAAAATGTTGCAATATCAAAGAGGATTATGCAGTGCTGAGACGGGCGAGAATTTTCCCTTTGTGAGGACAAAGTTTTTGTGGTCAGGGTTTCTGTACAATGAATTTGTTTTGATTCAATTAAGATATTTCGAAAAAGTTGAATTAAAAAGTTATTAATAATACGAAACGACTGAAAGCAAAATACTAAGAACAAAGATAGACTAAAACGGCATCGTATGAATTTTGGGGGAACCCCTGGATAACTGGCAACTGTAATTAATTGTTAAAAATTTTCTCTTTACGTTTTGGCCGGTCGATACTTGTCACTTTTGGTTCAGATTTAAATATTAAGATACTTTTATATTATTTAAGGAAAATGCCGAAAAAAGCACCACGAAACGCTTTTTACTATTATATGCTTAATTTCAAGAAAGAACAGCAAGAAAAAGGAATACACTATGCAAACATGGCTGAAATTGCAGAAGCAGCAGGTCCCTCTTGGCGGGTAAAGTATATTTCTATTTATAATTTTTCATTATAATAGTTTTTTATGGTTCATTCTATTAAAACGATATAAATATAGAATATAGATACATATGGTATAAACATTTCAGTATTTGATATTTACAGAAATTCTTGTTTTGGTTTTATTGCATATGAGATTTTAAATGACAAATGGAAATTGCAAATAAATATATTCTAGAGGTACTTATATGTTAATTGTATGGATAAAAGTCATACATAAATGATATGTCACTGAATAGTGGTTTTAAGCCTGTACATGTAATTTAAATTATTATTTTTATTCAATATGGAGGGATTAAAGGATTGTTATGTAAACATAATATCACCAACTTGTTTAGCTTATGTTTAGGAAAAGTCAACTTACTTGAATCTATAAAACTATGATATAAATTAACTTTGGTTTTTATGTTTAAAATTAGGAGGTGCCACCTAGCGTCCGTTCAAAGTACGAAGCTATGGCGAAACAAGCAAAACAGAAAAATGGTCTTCCCATTACAAAGTATACATCCACAGGTATGTAGCAATCAACTTTTTAACAAATAACTAAAATTTACCTATTCAGTTTCTACTTATAAGATAGAATTTAGGAAAGAGTATTTCCATATGTAAGATATAAGGATATATTCATAAGGTGGCAAACTAGCAAGAGGCCACCTGAAATAGCTGAAATAGCAAAGTGACTGTTGCCCATAGACATATGCAATTGCATATCCAATGCCTACCTTTAATCGACAGAGGAGAGGATGCACAAAAATAAAATATTTTCCCTTTCTATGCATCCTCTCATCCGGAAAGTCCTTTCCTTATAAGCAAATTGGCCTCCAGGACGCACACTTATCAGACGAAACGCGGAATTGATTCCATTTCACGACTGTCTTCTGTGTGGTTGTGGTATTTCACCAGGCGAGCCGGGCCAATTCATGTGAAGATGTTAAAGCTGGCTCTACCACTGTTAAAATATCAACCTTTGTATTAAAAAGTATTTCTTATATTTGTTATTTGTCATGTGATTTAAATTATGTAACTTTAATGATTTGTGGATTATTATTAAATATAAATTGTGTAATATGTAAAAATTAACTTGGCATTATATGCTATAGGTATACCACTCTCTCAGATTAAACTCCAGGAAAGAGAAATGCGTGAAGCAGAAGAGAATGAACTGAAAGATATAAAGAATATTGTGACCTACAGTCATATGAATGGAAGTAAGTTATTATAGGTTTTAAATTACTAAGATTTATGTATTATGATGTATGCTACAGAGCATTACGTCTTTTATAAGATCTCAAGACACATAACTCTATGTTAGATCACCATCACCAGCTCACTGTTCCCACCGAGGGGCTCGGAGCCTACCCTAAGTTAAGGGTGATTAGGACATAGTCAACCACGCTGGCCAAGTGCGGGTTGACTTCACATATATCTTTTGAATTTCTTCTCAGATATGTGCAGGTTGCATCACGATGTTTTCCTTCACCGTAAGAACTTCGGATAAATGTACATATGTAAATCGGAAACCGAAAAACACATTGATTCATATCGGGATTCGAACCCAGGACCTGCAGATTGCAAGTCAAGTGCTTGACCCCTGAGCTATGTTAGATAGTATAATATGATAAAGACTAGCTGTGTGATTTTTTTCTTTGAGCAATGTATAGTTAATTTCAATAGATATAAGAAATTTACATTTCACTGGCTGACATAGATGAGTATTGTTATGTATTTATTTTGGAAAATTTCATTGTTTGTGGTTACTGCCTTATAAAGGTAATATGGTTTTGAAATGTTTGTTATTTCTCATTTCCATTGAATTTGATTATAGTGGAGTATGTTTATTTTACTCATTTCTTTGTATTTTAATCTGATGTTGACAATGTAGCTTATTAAAACATGTAAGTTACGTATAACAGTTCTTAGTAAAACAACTTACTATATGATATTTTATACCTATCTTTGAATGGTTTCATTTGCAGTTATAGCTTTAAAGCAAAAATTGTTTGAATAATTGATTATTGCAAAATATTAAAGACTATGCAATTGCTTCAATATTTATTTTGATGTATTCAATAAAAAGAGTTATATGTTTCTATGTATATTTGTTGTAGGCATTTTGTTTTTAATATAGATATTTAAATGACAAATAATGAAATAGTTAAAGGAATAGAATCAATGTAGATTTCTCTATCATTTTCTTGCATTTTCTTATGTTTGTTTTTAAATTTTCTTTTTATTTTCTTTAAGCTTTGCTCTCCGAGGTGTTTTATGTATTGGATGTAAACTACTACTGCAAAGTTAGTGACAGTTATTATCTTATTGGAGAATGTTCGATGCTGCGATTCAGTTTAGCCGGAGGCATAGAAGAGACGTACCATAAGATTATTAACCCAGGTAATATATCTTACTAATATATAAATGCGAATGTATAGATGGATGGATGTTTGTTTGATGGTGTCTTCATGGTTGCATCGATCTTGGTGAAATTTGGCAAATTTGTAGGATTTGTTTGGATGAACACAGGCTAGTAATTAAGATACCGCGCAACAGCTAGTTACAAAATAAAAGGTTTTGCTTTGTTATATTTTTCAACATAAATTAGTTTTGTCGAACTTTAAATAATTTACTTCTCTTTTCAGGCTTCATACCAATAGGTTACGCTAATGATGTGAAAATGGGTTGTATGGAAAATGGATTGGAAATGCCGGATGAATGTAAGCCAAGGAGTGACTATTTGGAGATTCAAGCACATCTTTTGGATTATTTACAAAAAGGAAATCCTACTAAAGTTGTCCGGCCAATATTTACGATGCCAGATAAAGTTTTGCCCATTCGGGATTTCTTCAGACAGCTATGTAGTAAAAGTTGTAAGTAGATTTTATTTTTTTTTATATCATAAGGTGGCAAACGAGCGAGCGGCCACCTGAAATCGCTGAAATAGCGAAGTGACCGTTGCCCATAGACATACGCATTTGCATATGCGTTGCCTATCTTTAATCGACAGAGGAGAGGATGCACAGAAAGAAAATATTTTCCCTTCCCATGCATCCTCTCATCCGGAAAGTCCACTTCCATTTCCCCTTCTTTCCTTATAATAAAAAAGGGGGGAAGGGAAAGAGGACTAAATTAGTCCTACGGGACGCACATTCATCAGACTGTAGTTAGAATTGCTTCCACTTGACGCCTGTCTTCTGTGTGGTGGTGGTATTTTACCGGGCGATCCGGGACAATTCGTGCGAACAAGTTAAAGCGGGCTCTACCACTGTTAAAATTTCAACTATCGAATGATTTTGATGCAATTATTATCGACTTTATTATAAATTATCTAAAAAAAAACAAAGATAGTTTTGATAGTGTAATCAGGCAGTAATGTTTTCAAATTTAATTTTTGTTTGGTACTACTGCATCGACGGCGGGGCAGCAGTGCGGGGGACAACCTTACCGACCCCACCCGCCGCCCCGCGCGCCCTTCTCCGCATCTACCAGTTGCGCCACGACATTCCGCCCGACGACAGCCATATCAAATCATATTTGCTTTCATAATCATTTGCATTACAATCATCCGCCACAACCAGTCTTTCATTCCATCATCATACTGTCCACTCGCTCAACAATTTTTCAGTGTAGTATTAATTTTAAGAGTTTTTTTTTAACTAAATTGTTTTTCCTTTTATAGATATAAAAATTATATTTCTCAAAATAGTAGATAATAATACAAATACGATATTTCCATTATTTTTTTAATTAAAGCGAAAACTTAATTGTAAATAATTTGAACTTTGTTTCTCAGCGGAGGATGACTCAGTGTACCGTATATACAGGCTGGACACACTATTCTACAACCTGATAAACTCCATAAAGACGAGGACTGATGAGGGCTTCCCCAAGGAATCTTTGGCGCTGGTACAACTCCAGAGGGATCTATTTAAATATACATCAGGACTTGGTTGCGAGGTATATATTACTAATTAAAAAAAAAACTTAAAATCAATGTAAATGAGCCTATGTTACCAGGGCTGGAGTATTTCCGGCGTCAAGAGGAAGATTTTTGCGATGCCCCTTCTTTTTTTTTGTTTTAAATGAATTTTAAAACACAGGTTACAATTTAGAATTGTGTTTACTTTAGTTTTTTTAATTCCATGTGAATGCGGACGTAGATTTATGTCATTAGATGTCGCCCATGATTCCGACGGGCGGAATTAAAAAAAAAACTATAATTAGTAGCCTATGTGTTCTTCCAGACTATGTTCTATATGTACGTCAAATTTAATCAAGATCCGTTCACCCGTTCTAAAGATATCTTCAAACACCCATCCATCCATCCACATCACATCCATCAAAACATTCGCATTTATAATATTAGTAAGTTAAATAAAAGCAGCTCTTCAAGGAATAAATTTGAAATAAAATTGAATAAATAGTATCCTATGTCCGTCACCCGGCTGTAAGCTACCTCCTCACCAATTTTCAGGCATATCGGTAAAGCGGTTATTGAGTTATAAATAACTAACACAACTTTCTTTTATATATATATATATATATATATAGATTAGATGTCGTCCACGATTCTGTAATTAGTAGCCTATGTCACATCTATGCCAAATTACAGCGTCATCCATGTAACCGATCTGAAGATACCTTCACACAAACATCCATCCATACAAACGCACTTATAACTTTTAATTTAAATTGACTTACATGAAAGAATAATTTCTTTAACCAATTCTTTACAATCAATTTGAGTTCTGCTTAGTATATATATTTTAACAAGTGTTTTATGTACAATTGTTTGACAGTACCACAAGGAGACGGAGAAGGAAGTGGAATGCAGTTCATACCGCATCAAATGCTGGTCCTTCACAGTACTGGATGCTTGCTGTGCTGTCGCTGGCATTGATATCGTGCCGGGCAAACATGTACCACACGGATATGATATTGAAGTAAGTCATTTTATATATACAATCGAACTTTTATAAGCGAGAAACCTTTGCAAGCGAGATACCTTTATAAGCGAGAAACCTTTGCAAGCGAGATACCTTTATAAGCGAGAAACCTTTGCAAGCGAGATACCTTTATAAGCGAGAAACCTTTGCAAGCGAGATACCTTTATAAGCGAGAAATCCTTAATAGGTGAGAAACCGTTATGACCTAGAGTAATTATCTTGACGGACATAGAAACCTTTATAAGCGTTATCTTCCATTTTACTGCGATTTTTTTTAATTAGTAAAATACTTAGGTTCTCACAATTAGAAGTTAACCCTTACTTAGGGTAGGCTTCCAGCTCCTCAGTAGGGTCGTATAGTGAGCTGATGATGATGAAATAGAAGTTTACAATGTAAGTGGAAGGAAAATAAACTTAGTTCCTGGCAATTATTCGATTTTTTCTCACTTTTCAATTCCCTAGACCTCCATGAACATTTCAAGACCAAGATAAGATAAATCCGTTCAGCCGTTCTCGAGATATAGCAAGACTAACGAACTGCAATTCATTTTTATATATATAGATTAGGTTGTTGTTAATTGTTGAATATTAAGTAATTAATATTAATAATTGCAAGCGTCGGTGACTCAGGGATCAAGCACTTGACTTACAATCTGCAGGTCATGGGTTTGAATCCCGCCATGTATCAATGTGTTTTTCGATTTCTGATTAACATATGTACATTTATCCGACGTTCTTACGGTGAAGGAAAACATCGTGATGCAACCTGCACATAACTGGCAAGAAATTCAAAGATATGTGTGAAGTCAACCAACCAGCACTTGGCCAGCGTGGTTGATTATGGCCTAGTCACCCTTGACTTAGGGTAGGCTCCGAGCCCCTCGGTGGGGATGTATAGTGAGCTGATGATGATTAATAATTGTCTGTTTCAGGGTATATACGCACTTCGAGAACAGAGGAGGGGTCGCGTGCCGCCAAGCGTTGCAGGTTTTGCTGTAAATATTTATTTATATCTACTTAGTATATAACCTATGTGTTCTTACACACTTTGTTCATTATCTGTGCCAAATTTCAATGATATCCTTTAATCCGTTTTGGAGATATGTAAAGAAAAAGATCCATCCATCCACTCATACATCCAAGGCTTACAAATGTGTTATAAGTGAATCATCTCATTTAACCCGACTTCCTATAAATGAACATTACAGGATAATTAGTTCATTATGCAACAGATGGCAAACTAGCTGTCGCCCGCGACTCTGTCCTCTGAATTCAAAAAGAATACTTAGCCTATGTGTCCTTCCGGACTATGTTCTGCATCTGTGTCAAATTTCAAAAAGATACATTGAGCCGTTCTGGAGATACTTTCTAACAAAACAATCATTTATTCGCGTTTATAATATTTTTGTAAGAATATATAATTATTTTTTTAATAATGATAATTTCAGGAACCTTCTTCATCCAATACATCAACGGTGAATGAATCATTGCTCGACTCCACTACGAGTAGTTTCAGTGAAGTAGGAGGTAACTATAATAATTTTATTACGCTTTAATTGTCAATAATTAAGATTTTTATTACCGTAATATTTTTTTTAAATCGGTCCAGTAGTTTTTGAGTTTATTCCGAACAAATAAAAAGTAAAGTAAGGTAATCAATTTTTTGCGTTATAAAAATAAAACACATAAGTATAACATTAATTTTTAGATAATTGGTATATTTGCTTTTTTTTATTACTGAATTATATATTTTTTTTATTTACAGGCAGAAAAAAAGAAAAGAGAGTTCACGTGCCATTGCGGATGCCAAAAACTGATTGTATGTATTTATATTATATGATTAAACATGTTTCTTTAGTATTTCATAAAAAGTTTGATATGCTTCTATGACTTTTCTTATAAAATGTTACTAAAATTGACTTACTGTGAGTTTCTGAGACCTTAATCCTCTTATAAAATATATTGTCTTCTCTGTGTAGTTAGATAATGCCGGGAATGACATGTTTTTGTACAGAAATATTGGTCTCAGAAACCGATGGTTAATGGTCCTCAATACTAATGGATTCTATACCTTGTTTTTTTTCTTATTTTGTTCAAAAAGTATACTTTTTTCTTAAACTGTGTTATGTTTGCAGATTCACACATGATCCGAGCGGCACCCGCTCTTACAGAGTCCAACTTCCCCAGTCTAATCTCAGGACATGGCAGAGGTGAGAAGATACCTACTTATTTTTAACTAGAGTTTGCCCTCGAATTCATCCGCGTGGAATTAAATAAAAAACATAATCATTAGCTTACGTGTGCTTCCAGACTATGTTCTATATATATGCCAAAAGCCATCGAGATCTATGCAACCGTTCTGGAGATAGCTTCCAACAAACATCCATCTAAATTAGTCTTTCCCAAAGTGGGCGATAACGCCCCTTTGTGGTCGCTGCAGGTCTCATGTTGCGGGTTATAGTAAAAGTTTGCTTTAGAATTAATCCGTTAATATACATATATAGGTCACAATAATTAATTAATTTAATTTGAAGTTTAAGTGGTTTTTAAATATATGAAAATATGGGGGCGCTAAAAAAATATTTATTCTCAAAGTGGGCAGTAGACAAAATAAGTTTGGGAACCATTGATTTATTATATTCATCGTCATCATCATATTCAGCCCCAATTCGTTCACTGCTGAACGTAGGCCTCCCCCATCGATTGCCACAATGCCCGGTCCTATGCCGCCCGCATCCATCCATCCCTTATTATATTAGTAAGATTAATTAATTAACAAATAATGTTTATATTAATAAATCAATTTATTTCAGGTCGTGGCAGCCTGTCAAGTAGCATGAATAAACTGAAATTTGATAATTAAAATGTACTTAACATTTACTGGATTGAAGACCTGAATCTCTTCTGAAAATTACTTCTCTTGACAATTCTACGATGAAACTAAGATGACATCCAAGTGAATATTCTAAGTGTAAAGTGTTTATAAAGTGCTAATAATTTGACATATGTTTGGTTCTGGAGTTATTTAGACCACTGTGTTGTGTTAAATTTGGTGATTTTCAGTGTTAACCTAAATGTGTATACTTTTAAGACTCGGAGATTATTATGTAAGTACAATTATATTTTTCTGTATTTATAGATTGCATATTAATTATTAAACATTTCATCGTTATGTTCCCTTCAGCAAAAGCAAAACATTATTATAGTGGACCACAATTTTTTGAACATAGACAAACTGTTGCCCGCAACTCCTTCCTCGTGGAAATAAAAAAAACTTAATAAGTAGCCTATGTATTCTTCCAGACTATTCTATATGTGTGTCAAATTTCATCAAAATCCGATTAGCCATATCAGAGATACCTTCGAACAAACATCCATCTAAACATTTGCATTTATAATATTAGTAAGATTTAATTAATTTTAGTAGTTTATGTAGTACCTTAAAATATGTCACAGTTCAAAATGTTGACTGTGCATGTAAATTACGCATCGTTTTTTTTTATTGCGCGTTATCATATACTACACTTTTGGTATGCTTTGTTTGCTTTCGCGGAAAAGTGCTAACAATTATTTTAGTCTCTGTTTTGACAAAGTGTAGGAAAGAGATGGCAATATCTCTTGATAATAATGTCTTACATATTTTGTTGTAGAAAGGAGTCACAATAATAAAGTTACTAATAATTTATATGCAATCTATAAAAAATATAATCTGTAGTTATATCTTGATGACATTGTTTAAGTTTTTAAACATACTCAAGTGATATTGTCCACTTGTTTTTTTCTTAAGCTGTGATTAAACCAGTTTCTTTAGTGTATAAGTTGACTCTAGTTGTTAAGTGAAGATTTTATAATCTGTTATTTTCACGACATTTCTTATGTGATTGTAATGTAGGACATTTTTCTTAATTAGCAAAAAATATTATTTTGTTTTTCGGTAAAGCCTACCTCAACTGTTCAAATATTTTTATAAGATAACAATTTTTTTTGTTAAGTTGATAACTTCTGTTATTTTGTTCATTATGTATGTAATAATTATTAAAATTATAAAGATAAGAACAAAATATAGATAAAAAAATTTGTAATACACTTTTTTTATTAACCCATCACCTCCCTTTTATTAGTGCCCTAATATTTAATTGATGTAAAGTCATGGAAATGATTTGATGTCAAAAATTGGTTAGGAAAAAGAAAATTAGCCCTTTTCATTGGCAACGAGTCTCAGACTACAATTTCTCCTAATGTAGGGAATAAATTATAAAAGATTAAACAATGATTTATTTTATATATGTTATTGTTCTTCTTTCGAATTCTCATTGACTGTTTCTAGCTTAATCTTCTCTTCTTTCTTCTCGTCTTCTGTAACGTCACACTCAGTTTCTGGAGGAGTTTCAATGTCTTTTATGACAGTTGTCTCTGGTGTCACCTTTGTCACAGAGTATAAAGTGATGTGACCGTTCTTCTGTTCGTCGAGTTCCTCTTTGATGTCAACTATTGCACTTCTTACTAGAAGTATGACGTAACACTGGAATACTGGAAAGGTGAGAATAGTTTTTATTGTGAAGAATTAGCATACTTCTCCATATATATTGACTTGAGCTATTTTTATTAACTTTTGTGCACTTACCGAAATTGACAATAACATTTATCTTCGTAAGAAGTGTAATGGCGGCGATTACCATAGAGTATACGAGCACAGAGGCGACAACCGCCGCCATGCCAAAGTACATATAAGTCCGCAGTAAAACTATGTCTTTCTAAAACAATATACGTTTGTTCAAAGTAATTAAATAACGAATGTATGATGTATAAATAACAGATTTCATTTGATAACATCTTGACATATTTTTGCATAATATCAACAATAACCTTAAACACTCATCGCATAAAGAAAAAAGGGTTTTTTTTAATATAGCTAAGTTTGACACTATCAATAACTATCAATTTACAAGAGTCTGTCTCTTAAGCCAAGGTCAATTATAATCAGTAATATCACATTTAATAAGCATTTACCCGGTACATAGCACACAATAGTAGCATGTTGAAGGCGAGCTCTGTGCCGTAAGCTAGCGTACCGATCACCTTGGAGCCCTCGTCATCCAGGATCACCTCCTGCACGGCCATCAACGGCGGGGTGATGCCCCCGTCCGCGGTGCCCACTAGCGACAACATCTGTAAATGCATTAAGATTCCATTGACAAAACTTTTTTTTTTAAATATAGACGAATCTAAGCGAGAGTTTAAAGGGCTGCGATATTTTCCTCCCTTTGACTAGATGCTTCCTTCTAATCAGAGTTTCTCGATCATGGAGGTCGTCTATCGAACAGGACAGTGATTCTCGCTTATCCTGGTTGACTATAAATTTTTTTTCAAAGAAATAAACTGATGATGATGATTTATAACAAGGCGGGAAAAAGACTTTCTATATTTGGTAATTGAAAAAAATAATACACTTATATTTATACTAAGCTTAATGCTTAACATAAAATTTGACTAAACTAAATGCAATAAAAAAACTAAATTTCGTCCCTGTTGGGAATCGAACCGGCTGCAAAAATTACTAGTAATATACTGAAATTACTAAATCATAACAAATCTTACCGAAATAAATATGTTAAAATATCCAGTTATCAAGACTCCAGTTCTTATTGGCGCGAAACAGCAACATGTGTCCAATTTAAATGTAAGTATAGCAGTTTTTACATTGTCGTATAATTTCTCCATCTTCCTTCAATACTGAGCAGTCACTGGCACACGGCAACTAGGCGAGTGTCATCCCAAATATGTGAAAACACGACATAATTAGGATGCGTCTAATCAAAAGGTCGAATAAAAAATTTAATTGTTACGAATGGCTTTTGCAATGTCACAATAATGTAACTATTGTAGTTGATATTTTTAGATGCGTTAATAAAAGTACGGATCTATTTGTTGAAAAACTAACCTCAAACTTTTTTAATCATATTTTGAACTTAATACGCATTAATCCTAGGTTTTTATGACCAAAAATCTCTGTTTAAAACATATTATACCAGTGTTGTCAAAGATAATGACAGGGATGACGATATGATTTAGGCGGTGCTTTTGGTCTCAGAAACCAAAGGTTAATCAGTTAACTCCTGTAATGATTTAGTACGTAAGTAAAAAGAATATTAATGTAAATAAAACTTCATTATTTATAATTCATTTATTCAGTAAGTAAATGGTAGCAAAGGTATTTTCTTAATAACTTTCCATTGACTTAACTAAAATTATTAATTGCTGGTCCGTAATAAGTACATATTAATTATTTTACAATGATTACGATTGTTGTATAGAACTAACGAAATATTTTAAAAATTAAACTAGCTAAGGTTTATCTTATTTTAGGTTTTAGAGGTGCAATTTTTTATATAACATTTTAAAATAATAAATACGATAGATATATAACCTATAGACAGGGCCGGAGTTAGGCTAGGGCGTGGTTGGGCGACCGCCCATGGCATTGGATAGAAAGGGGCGCTACAAGTCTGAATTACAGTCCCCCATAAACCGTAACAAGGCATGGTAAAAAAAGAGAACCGTACAATTGTCACCCAGGACTCTAGGAGAGCTAAAATCGATGGAATATTATATTCAATTTTGACAATTAATCGAGAGTCGAATTTTGAAATGTCATTTTCTATAGGAAATAACAACAATGTAGAAATTTGTCTGTCTATAAAATGGCAAGAAAGGCTTTTTTTCGCTGCATTTTTGTTCCCTTTTTTTCCCAGAGAGGAATGCTTTATGCATACTCCGCGCCCCGGGGGGGACGCGGTAGTTATGTGGGATTCTCCTCCATAGCGGAGGCATACCCACTAAACTTCTCTGTTCCTCCAACGCATCGGGACAGAACCACGGGCACGCTTTCGCTCGTCCGCGACCCTCATTTTTGTTCCCTGGATTAGGCATCAATGGGTTATATATCTATAGATATCTACATAGTACTTTGTTGTAGATGAATGATTCCACAGTCCCGTATTAATTTGCACGCATAGTAATTAATAATAAGGTAAGGTAACAATAATGTTGAAATTTCGATTCCCTTTTCTTCGGGTGAAGGCACTTAAAATGTTATCCAATTGCTTTTTCTTAATGAAAAACGTTAGGTAACATACCCATACTACGTGACCTATTTATTTTAGTTTTTTTCTAAGTTTTTTAAGACTGCATCATCATCATACTCAGCCTAAACTTGTCCACTGCTGGACGTATTCCTCCCCCATCGATTGCCACAATGCCCGGTCCTGTGCCGCCCGCATCCAGTGCAATATGACTGCATGCATATTTAAATTACTAGTGAATTATGAAAAAGAACAACTAATGACTACGTGACAAAAACCTGAGCCACCCTCCCCCCTCCTGTGACTGACCGTAGTATTTTAAAGTCTCCCCACCCCCCTAAATGGGTTACGTAGTATGGGTACGTTCCCTTATCTTGTTGAAAATGGTAAAGTTTGGGAACTAAAAATGTTTGAATATTTGATATGTGCCTAAGATTACTTATAATTTTTTTAAGGGTGATTTTAAAAAAATCAAACTTAAATGGAATGTCAATGAAAATATAATATTTATTAACCAAAAAAAAATTTATAAAATAATATGAATTATGATGGTAAATATTAAAGCATATGGAATCGACTTAATAATTAAAATATTTTCTCGTTGATATTTTATTAATAAAGAAAAATTCCCTGTAACAATTGTTTAATAAGAAAAATAATATATATAATATAATAACATTTTTTTATTTAACAAAATAGACCATAAGAATTCTGATTTTTGTAAAAATTTAAAATTCACAACGAATATCATTACAGGCACAAATTTTTGACAATTATTATGTTTCATACTGTTATTACTTTGTATGGGCGTAGCTGAATTATATAAAATTTTTAAAGTGTTGAAAAAAGTTGACATTAAAAAAAATAAGTACAAATTTCAAGCAAATTCACCAATAATTTTTGTTATAATTTGCGAAACAATTAAAAAAAAGTTGTGACAATATAATAGTTATTCAAAAATCGACTATCGACTGATTCATCGATAGATCTTTTCACATCACTACTGTGGCTGTCAAACTGACAGCTGTCACTTTGACAGCCGCACCTGATGACAAGCTACGCCCTTCGTGTACCTTACTTCATCAAAGCGCGAACCACAGCATCAGGATTGAGTGCCTTCAGATCAGTATAAGTCTGTCCTGTGCCAACAAACACTATCGGCTGACCGGTTATATAAGTCATAGATATGGCAGCACCGACTTTATCATCAATCGTATCGAATTTTGTGAGCACAATCCCGTCTATTACATGAGGATCATTCGTAGCACTGTGGTCTGCGAGAGCCTGGTTGAACTTGACCAGCTGATCGACGGCTTCGTTCCCTACTAGGGCTTCGCCAACAAAGAGCACCAGGTCTGGCTGGTTGACGGTGATCAGTTTGGCCAATGCTCGCATGAGAGGCTCGTTGTCCTGCATCCTGCCCGCCGTGTCCACCAGCACCACGTCTATCTTAGAGTCAGCCGCGTAACGGATGGCTTCCATTGCTATACCGGCCGCATCTTTGCCTGGAATTATTTAAAACAAAAATAGTTTTTAAATGAGTGTAAAAGTAGGTAAATTTAGAATTAATGTCTATTTCACAATGTCCAAGTAAGTCCTTAATAAGTTTCTTGGAACTTATTTGTTTTTTCTGTTTTGTCTTACTAAAATTATAAATGCGAAATTTTAGAAATTTGTTATAGATGTAGAACATAGTATGGAAGAACACATAGGCTACTTATTAAGACAATATTTTGAAGAAAAGTATTGTCAGTTAATTTATTTGTTATTTATCTAATTTACTTGGACATTGTGAAACTTATCAGTTAGGTAAATAGTCAATACATACCATATCCCTTCTCATACAAATGCACCATACGACGTCCATGCGCTTGCATCGGATGCAGCGCGTCAAGACGTCGCACATGTGTGCGCAGCTGCTCCACTGCGCCTGCGCGGAATGTATCACACGCGGCTATCAACACGGATAGATCATTCTCCAGCAGCCAGAAGCAGATCTTCGCTAAGTTGGTCGATTTGCCCACACCATTCACCTATACAAAAGATTTATGATAAATTAGATAGATGGCGCTGATATATAATTCCTAAGGTTATAAAAAAAGTAGTTCGATAGATGGCGTTATTACGATATTTAGACATTACAAATTTTTAGTCTCAAAAAAATTTCATACCATGTGAAGCAAACAGAAAAAATGTAATTGGATAGAAAAACATTTTTCTCTATAAATCCTTAATTTTTTTGCTTCATAAAAGCACTCACCCCACAAAATGTCATAACGTAGGGCCGTCCCTCTTGCTTGGCGTGCATGCAGTCCCGTAGGATGTCAACTCGGCGCTTCGGTGACAGAATCTGCACGAGGGACTCCGTCAGCGTCGCCCGCACCGTCTTAGCCACCGTCTCGAATGTACCGAGCACCTGCAAAGATACAAAATATTAAGCGCCTGTGAAATATTACATAGCAAAATGTATACGCCAAATGTGACAAGTAATATTAGCGCCTGTTAATTATTATATAGCAAATTATCAAGAACGGATATTTAAGAATATAATAAAATAATATAAAAAACATCAAAATTTCTATTTAATTCATTCAAAGTTTGAAAACAAACATGGTCACCACATTTTATATTGTTAACGCAAACATTATTTGTGTGCTGTCGAAGTCGCGAACGACTACTAGTAAGCCAATAAATTGAATTTCCTCACCTTGCCTTCCAGTTTGGTAGCGACGGAGTCACACAGTTTGTTGGCGATGTCCGCGGCGACGTTCTTACCAATGAGGTGGTCACGCAGCTTGTCCAGTACTGGACGCATTGTCTCCTCGCTCAGAGCCTTCGAGCCCACAAGACCTAGAAATAATGTTTATTAGAATATATACAGCCGATCATCGTGACGTGACGTCTTTGGGGGAAGCCTCTGCCCAGCAGTGGGCGTCATATGGCTGAAGAAAGAGACCGAATCTTCGAGGTTATATGTTGTTAAACCTAAGCATTCTAAATAAAGGGTATTTAGTTCACAAAATATTGTAATCTTCATTTTTTTTATTTGATTACAATGTTTAGATATTAATTTGGAACATCTTCAACAAATAAATTGAGTTAATATAAGAATTCTTTTCTTTTTTACCTTTAAATATGCTGAACATGCCGCCAGACTTCTTGCTGGTGGGCTGAGTGTTGTCCACTTCATCATCACTGCTGCTGTAGTCTGATTCCACTTCTAGATCCTTGATGGCACCCGTCATTTGACCCACCAGCTGGAATAAACAATTTACAATTTACATTTCTATCCGGCTATTACATATGGAAGAAGAAAGGAATTATCATACATAAGGAATCATCATTATAAAAATTAGTAAACAGATTAGTACTACAAAGAAACACACATTTAATTATGTAAGACATACTTACATCGTGGGCCATAATACCCAACAGTGGGCAACATTCAATTATATTACCAAAAAGATTTTAATACCAAATTTTTTACGTTTAATTTTGGAACTTTTTATTCATCGGTATTTACCTGTGTATCGGGCATAATATCATTAGGCACAGCATCCTTGTCGGTCGTATACTCCAGTGTGGGTAAATCCCGGCTACCTCCACCCAGCTCCCACACGCGTGGCTTCTTCACGCGATCCACTGCTTTAGGACTCTTCGGAGACTTCCTATAATAAAAAAAAGCAATAAACACATGTATAGTATTGTAATTTTCATATATATAAGCGGGTAGGAACATAATTTCAGGTGTAAGGTAAAGGTGCGGAGAACACTACTCAAGGTCAGCCACCAAAAAAATTAACTGCAGGTTTCTGATACCAAAATCTTCATATAAAATGTCGTTCCTGTCTTTCATCTTTAACATAAAAAGCGATATCGACATGTTATGTTATTTTAAACGGGGATTTTGAACTACGAAACCCACGGTTAAGCACTTTGTTTCAGTTATAACAAAAGACAAATAGATGACTTTAAAACATAAATAAGCCCACCAGTGGCATAGTCCGGAGAAAGATACAAATCGTATAATCAAAAATTCAAATTATGTAAACAGAGAAATGCTTAATTCTACACAACATAGTGTCAATTACTCTGTTTCATTAAAAAAAATGAGAAATAAAATTATGCAATTTTACTAATATTATAAATGCCAAAGTTTATGAATTGGTGGATATTACTTTGAAAGTATCTCCAAAACGACTTATTAAATCTTTATGAAATTTGCCACAGATGTAGAGAAGATGTGTGTCTGGAAGAACAATACAAGTAGCCTATACTTATTAAGTTTTTTTTTATCCCGTACAGACGGAGTCGCGGGCGATAGCTAGTAATGTATCAATATAAATATAGAATGCCGTATATTAATAATAAAAAAAGTTTAGCAAATATTTTTTTATCTACATATTGTAGCAAAAATATTCAGTTTATCTATGGTTGATAAAATCAATCTTTGTATTGGAACTTGACAACCTTCAACTAAGGCCAAGAGCTAAGAATAATCTAGTTTACTTGCAGTAATCAAATTAAATGAAATCTTATAATGATAAATAGTTTTAAACTAAGATAAGATACAATATTTATGCTTAAATTTAAAACAGATAAAATTTTATATTATTTTTATTATAAATTACAATTTTGTAAGCAATAAATAAATATCAAATAATTTGATTCAAATTGATTGATTTGAAATTCAAATCTTACTAATATTAGAAATGCGTATATTTAGATGGATGGATGTATATTTGAAGGTATCTCCGGAACAATTAAACAATTTTTTGGCATAGATGTAGAACATAGTATGAACACATAGGCTACTAATTAAGTTATTTTAATTCCGGTCGGACGAACCCGCGGGCTACAGCTATTAATCAATAAAAATAATGTTATTAAATAGCTTACTTTGGCTCCTTCTTGTTCTTGGAGGCGAGCTTCTGCGCCAGCTTGGCTCTGTTGGCCGCAATCACATCATCCTCCTGCTCTAAAGGCTCCTCCAACTTGCCGTTGCTTAGATTCTTTGATTCAACTATTTTTACTGAAACAAATTGTAACGGAAATTTAACAGTAAATTGTGGCATTAATATGTTTATTAAGAATAGAATTTGTTAAAATTAAAAACTATTCAGATATGAACATTATACAACTAAATAAAAATGAATTTTCTTATACAGTTCAACCGGGATAAGTAAAAATCTATGTAAATAAATATTTGTTTATAGAAAAACACCTATAAGAGAGAAAAATATTGTGGCCCTTTGGACCATTGCTTATCCAGGTACATCAAATTTCAAATGTCTAGATTGTCTAAAACTAACTAAGCAGTAATTTTGAGGCTTCTTATTGACTGAATGAAAGTATTTAAGGACAAGAATCATTATTGTTATTCATAAAAAATTCAAAATTCAATGTTGCCTTGCCTAAACTAGGAAGACCTGTATTTAAGGAGCAAAGGACTTCCCTTACATGTAAATTTAATAATTGTTTGTGTAGAAAAACAACTAAGAATAACATTGAATTTATGAAATGATTTTATGAAACAATTTTTGTGTAACATTGTACATGAAAAATGTATAGTACATAATGTAATTGCATAATATACATTACATTATATACAAAATTCTCATGTCACCATATTATATAGTTATCATACTTCTTCTAAATTGCTTCAAATAAATGCATATTCAATATGTCTGAGAATTGCCTACTATCTAGTTTTTAATTCCGTGCGGAAAGAGTTATGGCAGAGAGCTAGTTATGTTATGTATTCCAGGTAATTATAATTTCAACAAAACTCACCAGATTTCTTATTTTTCTCATCACCTTTCCTCTCTATCATAGATGCAACAGTCTTCTTAGATTTCTGAGAATCCTCAAAGGTTCTCATTTGTTTTGGAATTTTAGCTTGTGACTTAGCTGTAAAATAAGTATCAATTTTAAAGTATAAATTAAAGAAACATGCTCTTATGCAATGTACAGACTACATAAGGGAAAGTAAATAATGGAAAGAGGTTTTACTTCTTTTAACAATGGATTTTAGATGGATGTTACCAAGAAATCCTAGAACAACTGAAGGAATCTTGATGTAATTTGAAAAAGACAGATTCATCTGGAATAGACTAATCTTGTTTTTTTTTTAAATTTTATGTAGATGCAGTTTTGAATAGTAGCCAGCCAACACTCACCCCAGTTCTCACATTCCTTGAGGACCTTGTCAAAGCACATTTTGAACTCATAGTCAGAGTTATAGCGGCCAGTCTGCAGTTCATTTTTGTATTTGTCTCTAAACTCCAAGTGGACATCGTTCAAAAACTTATCAACGTAGGACAACTGGAGTATACGCTGATATGCTACCACGAACACTAGTTCAAACTCATTATCGAGTTTATATTGTAATGTTAATGAATTATGATTAAACGTATTATTTCCTGATCTTTCCTGCAAATATATCGAATGAATTACATATAAGAAAGGGATCATTGTAGCGTGATATAAATGAATTTATTTAATTATTTTATTGAAAGGGCTTCAGATAACTTACTTGCAAAATTACACTCCGTATTAGAGCGTTTACGGATGGCGAGAATATTTCGCTGGTACTCTGGAAACACCACAGCACTATACCACCTTTACTGAAGATGCTGAATAAGTCGAGCATTTTGGATAAATATCGTAAAGAAAGTTGTAAGTTGTAGTAACAGATTGCAAAGTAGCTACGTAGTATGAGTTGGTGCAATATGTAAATTGTAAGCTGTCAAACGAGTTGTGACGTATAACGTGTGACGTTTACGTTTGTGTATTGCCTGCATGATTTTCAGTGCTGTGCAAAAATCGATTCAGCTAGCACTAGTTTACAATGTAATGCAGTAGTGTGTAAGTAATTTTTAAGCAAAATTAAATTTGCAACAAACTGTGTATCGCCTTATTGATTTTAAACATTTTATTTTAAACGATATTAATTTTATTTTTCAAAAACTTGTCTATACTCAAATCCTTGCGCTATCTTGTTTTATTTTTCCGAAATACAGACTCAAACTCATGAACGACCAATCATAATCTAGAACAACCATAACCTGAAGTTTTCATTGGTTAGTTTTGGACTCGAAATAAGCAATTTAGACATTGAGAACAGAACATAGTGAATTGCTTATGGTGGACAAAACGAAACGAATTTGTCAAATCATTCTCAGCGTAGGGATTAGTTTATAACAAGAAAAAGTGTTCGCTGTTTATTTTAATAGAAAGTTAAACAGAAATTAAACTAAAATGAATATCACATCAGCCGCAGGGATTATATCCCTGCTCGACGAACCTATGCATGAAGTGAAAGAGTTCGCATTGAAACGATTGGACAATATCGTTGATCAATTTTGGCCTGAAATTTCTGAATCTATAGAGAAAATCGAGATACTGCATGAAGACAAAGTGTTTTCACAACATCAGCTTGCAGCGTTGGTGGCCAGTAAGGTGTACTATCATTTGGGTGCCTTTGAAGATTCACTGACGTACGCACTCGGTGCAGGTGACTTGTTCGATGTAAATGCAAGAAATGAATATGTTGATACCACAATTGCAAAGGCAATTGACTTCTATACTCAGAAACGCAAGGCTTTGTTCGTGGATAATTCAGCGGAGACGATCGATCCTCGCTTGGAAGCCATCGTGAACCGGATGTTCCAGCGATGCCTCGACGATGGACAGTACCGTCAAGCCCTGGGCCTTGCCCTGGAAACTCGTCGCATGGATATCTTTGAAGAGTCCATCATGAAATCTGATGATATATCAGGTAAAATTTATTATATTTTTTCGTTCCTTTGTGTTTCACTATTTTTTTTTAATGAAATTATTGGTATAATTCTATGAACAACCATAATAGTAACAAAATTATAATGTTATTTAAAAAATCAAAATACAGTACTAAACAACAGTAGACAATAGATAAAAAATTACTATTAAAAATCTGTATCTCAACGCTTGCAAATTAATGTAAACAGCATTGTTTTATTATACTATTTTCTATGACAATATTAAAAGAATTCCTTTGTTTCTTTCCCATTGAAAAACTGTTTAAAAAGTTATAAGGTTGTTGGTCCTATTATTTTCACAAACGGAAAAGGTCAACAAGCTCTGTCCAAACATAATTGGATATGTGAAAAGCTTATTTTCCATTAAATTAATGTTTGATCTATTCGATTATATTTTTTTTGTGTTACAGGTATGCTCCAATATGCCTTCACAGTTGCGATGAGTCTCCTTCAAAACAGAGGATTCCGGAGCACAGTCCTTCGTTCCCTTGTTGGTTTATATAGAGGTCTGAACATCCCTGATTACGTAAATATGTGTCAATGTTTAATTTTCCTTGAGGATCCATTATCAGTTGCTGAAATCCTTGACAAATTGACCCATGGACCACAAGAATCTGTCCTCATGGCTTATCAAATAGCCTTTGACTTGTATGATTCCGCCACTCAACAATTTCTAGGCAGAGTGTTGCAAGCTTTAAGAACAACTGCACCAATACCCAGTGCTCTTGGTGGTAAACCTCAACCTCAGGGTGGACCCTTCCCAGAATCTTCCATGGAAGTAGACCAGACACCAACTGAGGAGGCTAAAAAACCAGAGAGAGATATCGAAAGCCTGAATGATGAAGAGAAAGAGCACCAGAAAAGAGTTGAAAAATTAATTTCTATATTAGGTGGAGATGTATCAATAGGTTTGCAATTGCAGTTCTTAATTAGGTCAAATCATGCAGATATGTTAATCTTAAAGAACACAAAAGATGCAATTCGAGTTTCCATATGTCATACAGCAACAGTCATAGCAAATGCCTTTATGCATGCTGGAACAACCAGTGATCAATTCTTAAGAGATAACTTGGAATGGCTCGCCAGAGCAACCAATTGGGCAAAGCTAACAGTAACAGCTTCTCTAGGAGTCATCCATAGAGGTCATGAAAATGAGTCATTGGCTCTCATGCAGTCTTATTTACCAAAAGAAGCAGGACCATCATCAGGCTACTCGGAAGGTGGTGGCTTATATGCTTTAGGTTTGATTCACGCTAACCATGGTGCCAATATCATTGACTATCTTTTAACACAACTAAAAGATGCTCAGAATGAAATGGTACGTCATGGTGGATGTCTTGGCCTCGGTCTGGCAGCAATGGGTACCCACAGGCAAGATGTCTATGAACAGCTTAAATTTAACTTGTATCAAGATGATGCAGTCACCGGAGAAGCTGCAGGTATCGCTATGGGCATGGTAATGCTGGGTTCAAGAAATGCAGCAGCCATAGAAGATATGGTTGCGTATGCTCAAGAAACTCAGCATGAAAAGATCTTGCGTGGTTTAGCTGTGGGCATTTCCTTTACCATGTATGGAAGGCTTGAAGAGGCAGATGCTCTTGTTCAACAACTATTGAGAGATAAAGATCCATTGTTGCGACGAGCTGGATGTTATACTATCGCGACTGCTTATTGTGGTACTGGAAATAACGATTCTATTAGAACTCTACTGCATGTTGCAGTTTCTGACGTCAATGATGATGTACGTCGTGCGGCCGTGACCGCTCTCGGATTTTTGTTGTTTAGAACTCCTGAACAATGCCCATCAGTTGTGTCACTGCTGGCTGAATCATACAACCCTCATGTACGTTATGGCGCTGCTATGGCCTTGGGCATTGCATGCGCCGGTACTGGTAATCGTGAAGCTATTGGTCTTTTGGAGCCCATGGTCAAATTTGACCCCGTTAACTTTGTAAGGCAAGGAGCCTTGATTGCATCTGCAATGATACTTATTCAACAAACTGAAACACTTTGCCCGAAAGTTACTTACTTCCGCCAACTGTACGCTCAAGTTATCTCCAATAAACATGAAGATGTCATGGCTAAATTCGGAGGCATTTTAGCTCAAGGTATTATTGATGCAGGTGGACGTAATGTCACTGTATCCCTTCAGAATAGAACTGGGCATATGAATATGTTGGCTGTAGTAGGTATGTTAGTTTTTACTCAGTACTGGTATTGGTTCCCTCTGGCTCACTGCCTCTCACTAGCCTTTACCCCGACCTGTCTGATTGCACTTAACTCTGATTTGAAAATGCCTCAACTTGATTTCAAATCTAATGCAAAGCCATCACTTTATGCTTACCCTGCACCATTGGAGGAGAAGAAGCGTGAAGAGAGGGAGAGGGTTACCACCGCCGTGCTGAGTATTGCCGCTGCCAGAGCGCGCAGGAGGGCGCACGGCACTGATAGCTCCAGCAGCAGCAGTGCCACAACCTCAACTACTTCGAAAATGGAAGTTGAGGAGGAAGAAAAGAAACCAACAAAATCACCCAACCCTAACATAACTGTTCACGGTAAATCTGACAAGGATGCTGGAACATCAAAGGAAATTAAAAAGGAAGAAAAAGAAGGCGATGAAAAAGAGGCTAAAGAAAAGAAGGAACCGGAGCCTAACTTTGAAATATTGAACAATCCTGCGAGGGTTGTGAGGCAACAGCTTAAGGGCATCACAGTTGTTGAAGGTTCCGGATTCATACCTTTGAAGGATGTTACAATTGGAGGTATTGTGATGTTAAACCATTCCGGTGATGTGGAGCAAGTTCTTGTCGAGCCAGTCGCCGCATTTGGCCCGAAGACCGAAGAGGAGAAAGAACCCGAGCCACCGGAACCATTTGAGTACTTGGATGATTGATATTGTCTCTTCACTTAAAGTTCTTCATGTTACTAGCGTTAGGACTACATGAATCATAAATGTATTGAACAAGTTTATATAACAACATAGAATATTATTGAAGTACATACTAACTGGAAATTATTGATGTGTTTTCTGTGAAATAAATGATTAAAATTAAAGATTTATTTATTTCAATTATGTTTACTACATATATTTCTTTCTTTAATATTTCTTATTAATACTATCCTAGAGATTTAATAAATAATTTAGTCTCTTTTTGTTGGGACAAGGAAGGAGTAAAGTAAAAAACAAATCTGAGAATCTTTTATTTATCCAATGTAACCATCGCGATATGTAGTGTCCTCTGCCGCTATACATAAAATTATGTTCTACGCCTGTCTCGACTCGATCGAAATAAAGAGCTGCCAAGATATTTGAAAATTAAATTATAAAGCACATTCATTTTATCTTTGTAATTTATAATCTGTATTTGATTTCTACCGTATTGCCAAGGTTTTCTACAGTTTTCTACCAGATCAAAGGAATTATAATTTTCATGTTCACACGTAAATGCTTTTGTTTAAAAAAAAAACTAATTAATTAATTTTTTTACAGAAAAGCAGTATTCTTTAGTTATGAATTTTACAATTATATTTTGATACCTATACTTACCCATGTTGGCAAATTTATTAAATATGGCAGCACTTCGCACGACACTTTATAAAATCAATAATACATTGTCAAAATAGTATTTGCATTTTCATGTCGAATTGGTGTCGTCTGAAACGCAAAACCGGTGACGACGCATATTAAAGGTAACAGTGCAACTATATAAATATTAAAACATTTAGAAATTGTATTGATAAGTTATAAAATAACACTTATTTTTGTACAGATCCTAGAGATTGAGAAGTAATGCGCCTTACAAACAAAAAAAACAAGATGGATTCTGATATAAATTACGGCGATTTGTCATACAGTATCGATTTAGTAGAAGACTCCGAGCAGCTGAAGAATGATTTGATCGAAATAAAGGATGTCTTGGACCATCTTTTGCCCCTAAAGCCTGTATACAATTCACTGTCTCTTCCAGTGAAAATTGAACTCGATTTATTCCTTTTATTTGCTTTGAATTCCCTTCAATGGATAAAGCTGCAAGTAAATGGTGTTGATCCGCGCACCCATCCTGTTGCGGGAGAATTGCAGCGCGTGAAAATAGCTATGATTAGATGGCATGAAGAGTGCGATCGTCAAAATAGGCCCAGGCTGGACATACCGGTGGTGAGGCGGTTCATCCGAGGTGGACTGCAAATTAGAAATGTTGGACATCAGCCCTACACTGTAAAGAAACCAACAAACAATACCAATCAAGATGAAAATGATCAGTTGTAAATTGACTGATTTTATTGGTAGAAATTCTTTTGTCTTATTCTCTTTGTTGCCTATTAGATTTTAATTGCTAATCTTATATTAAAATAGTTGTTCATGGCTTCGCTGGCATGAAGTTAATCTCACATACTTATTATGTATCAGATATCTTCCATTCAAAGTCCAGTCAAAAATCCAGCCATTTCCGAGATCAACTGGAGCAAATATACACTTACTGGACAATTAAAAATATGTTTTTTTATGATCTCCAATTTTATGACCTATATATATTTATGAGTATGAATTAACAAACTATTAAGTTTTATTAGGTTGTAACAAAAAAAATGTTTTAATTTTATTATGGTCAATAAGTTAGGTAACCAAAGGATCTATTTATAACTTTCCTGTTTTTTAAATTGTCAGTGTATGTATCTATAAAGCCTAGCCAGGAATACAAAAATCCTCAGAAAAATGGAACTAATTCCTCTGCCTACATTACAAACAATTGTCCAGGATTTTTATATTCTTGGTTAGGCCATAAAATATTTTAAGGCATATAATCTTAGTAGATTAGGTATACTCATTATATCAAGAGTAATTGTTTATTGCTACAAAAAAAAGTTTGAAATAAAGTCATCCTATTCCTTCATTCAATGATCTAAAATTTAGCTTGTTATTTTATTTAGAAAAGAAGAACAGTTTTAACTTAAAATTGTCATGTAATTTTAACAAAATGTATTTAAACTTGAGTGGATAATTAAAAGCCATCATCAAACTGCCAATATATCTATGGAGGGTTGGAACATGTATGTACTACTCCATACATCTCTATCAAACAAAAAAAGAATTGAAATTATTTAAAACTTTAAATATATAATACATAAAGTGTGAACTGAACAATATCGGATTCAAAACAAAACCATAGACAAATATGCTATATTTTATGTTGAAATTCATAAAATTAAATTTCTCATTTTTTTTGACAATTTAAATATTATATAATAGCCACCATGTATGTAGTTGGACAAGCCTCTACTTAAGCTTTCTATGTTAAAGGACTTAGGAACTAGGAATAGAAAAACGCTTGTAGTTTTTTTCTAATTTATTGCTTGTCTTTCATATATTGTAAAATTAAATAAAATATTCATCATAATAATTTTCTTTTCATTTCCCATATATATTTTGGAATGTTTTAAAAAGGCGAAATATTTTAAACAAAATTCATAAATCTGCATTAGTAAAAATCAAATCCGTAAGCCTCATTTTTAGTCAAAAGATTAAAACTGGTTACTACGAGTTTCCACTGTTGAAATACGTGTACAAAAACATTTTATACCGATTCCGTAGTGTAAACCCATGTTTGACAGTTTCTTGTGACTGACTAGCAAATATTTTTAATAAATTAAGTTTTTTTTTTAATTTGTAAATATATAAAGGCTTTTTAATAATTACAATAATATCAATTAACAAGATAACAGTTACAAATTGATTTTGTTCAAATTTGTTTCAAACTTTTTATAAAGAGTAAGTTGTAAAAACAGTATGAAAGTCTGGTTACTAATAAATAAATTCGTTCATAAAAATAATAAATATTAGGCATTTTTTTCATACAATATTGCGTTATCAGAAACACATATATAAACCAAATTTTGGATTAAATGTACAGGAAGTGGCTGTAATTTAAATGACCGTTTACCATACCGACGTTTTTTAGCTTTTTCGACCCCTCCCTCCCCTGGGTAGTAATTTATAATTATGATTTTTAATCATTTCACAGGCAAAAATTGAAAAAATAAATAATTTGGCTCATACTCCTCTTTATAGCATATTTAAATTACTAGTGAATTATGTATTATGAAAAATAACAAGTAACGACTATGTGACAAAAACCTGAGCCCACCCCCACTCCTGTGACCGACCGTAGTATAGTCCGCTATAGTATTTTAGTAGAATCTTGAAAGGAAATATTGTTAATATCTTTTGAGAAGATTCAATTTAATAATACAAAATGCTGTAGAAATTACTGAACCCTTCTCTCTCGGATCTAAGTGAGTTAATTGATAAAATGTTCTCAACTGGGTTTCAACTGTTGCTACACATGTTTAAAAACACCAACTTTTTGTATATTTGTTCGCAATAAAATGGTAAGTACATACAGGGTGTTGATAAATTGAAAAATTCTTAATAGAATTTGAATCCGGCAGCTACCATAATTCAGACATGTTTAAATTAAATCCTATTTACTTATGATTAAGTACCAATAACCACATGTACATTTTGTTCCTTAATATGTCACTGTTTGATCTACAATTTAAAAACATTTAAGCTTGAATAATAAACCCATTTCAAACATAACCTGTAAATGTATATATAAAACATACAAATTATAGCTTAAATTCGGGATATCAAACTTTTAATTTTACAAAATAGGTTCCTAGCTGGCAAGTTTCTGATTACATTTTTTTCATAAAAGTAATAAATATTATAAATATAATTATTCCTCAATATATTAAGAATTTAACATATGGTTATAATTTTTTTATGGAATTAAATATGAATTTAAGTAATAACTCAAATTTCAACCTGCAAAACCAAACCTGCTGCAGAGATATTATCCCCCGCACCTGCGGTTAATTGAGCCTCCGTACATATAAGAACTGGAGCGACACATATCTCAACCTTGTCACCTACAATCGTCTCCTCCCAACATGCTACTGGTTTATTAGGCTCAAAGAAAACTCTACTATTATTATCATTGTTAGTAGTTGTTGAAAAACTGTCATCGAGTAATAATTTTGTCTTTTCAAGGTTTATATTTTGTGAATTACAAACATATCTATGTGCTGTCAGTGATGCTTTAGCTGCTGCTGCAGCTGTTCTCTTCCATTCTGAATTTTGTACAGTTAAAATAGCTTGATAAGCTAAAGTATGTACATGCATTCTTGTCAACTTTCTCTTGCTACCGAATGCATTGTTCTTCTCACGTATGAGTTTGTACGTGTTTCTCATTTGATCTAATGCTGTTGCCACTCTTGGATTGGAGTCAGCGACGACAACAACACGGCCATGTTCTAACACACTATTGAGGTTTGATAATTCTTGTTCGTTCATACCAACGGAGTCAACAAAAGGTAACACTTTAGTTGTAAGATGTTGTAGTAATTCTAAATCAACATAACTTGCCATTTCAAAATGAGCTAATGTGTTCAAAGGTTGTGATAAAATTTGTTCTTTGACTAGATCCAGTCTTTCCGCTCTTAAATCTGTAAAAGACAAATACAATGCTTAGAGACAATTTACCAAACTGATTTTTTCGTTTTATCTTTAAGTAAATGGTTGAAATTAAATATTATTTTACAATAAGGAAGGTAACATATTTTTTATTTGATAAGATAACTGATGTAATAAAACTTAACAGCATTTTTTATGTTATACTAGCTGTCGCCCGCGACTCCGTCCGCGCGGGATTAAAAATAGACGTTGGCCGATTCTCAGACCTACTCAATATGCTCACAAAATTTCATAAGAATCGGTCAAGCCGTTTCGGAGGAGTATGGGAACGAAAATTGTGACATGTGAATTTCATATGAAGAAAAAGATGTCAAATACCAGAATAATACTCAAAAAGATGGAGTTGATACAGGCTTTGGATGTAAGCTGTCAAAGCATTGGTTTATATGACTATTTTAATCTATTATGGTTTTGCATGTTGAAAGGAAAAAAAGAACCCTTATGGGATCACTTTGCTGCTCGTCCATCTGTGTGTTGCCCCTTTCTTTCAGGAATGCATCAAGGTATCAAGCTGGAATTTATATCAAATACTCAGATCTGCTGTCTCTTGGTGCTGTGCAAAAGTCAAACTTTGAAGCCAATTTTTTTAATCATATAAAATGTCTTACCTCTACCATCTTGTTTGAAAGGGAAGTTGTCCATCATTTGTAGACCGCTAATGACTAGCAAATTGGGTTTGAAGCTGGTCAAATGTTCACCGAGCTTCTCTAAGGAACTTAAAAGTGGATTATTTTCATCATTATGCATGATGTATCTATTTGCTCGGGGAGCTTTGTATTTACCAAACTTTTCATCGGCCTTGTATTCTAAAATCATATGTATATCATCTTTCACTTCTTCATTTTCATTATCACCAACTATAAGGATTTCTTCAGGGATATATTTTTTCAGTTTTTTACTCATTTTTGCTCCAAATAGTACTTTCCAACCCTCCAGAAAGAATCTTCTGGCCATTAAGGGTGCATTTCCACCAATCGCCCATCTTGTGTCTGGCAGTTTAAGGGCTTGTTCCACTAATTCATCATATAACTTGCTGTTAGACATGAATCTCCTGAAATATATAAATTAAAAAATATTACAACATTTTAGAGAATCTTATAATATTCTTTGCCATTAAGTTATTAAGTATTACAATCAGACTGATGTAAATTCATTGCTTTAAATTTCTTTTCCTTCATTGACTGGAATTGAAATAAAAACAATTAATGTAAATGAATAAAGAAATAAACAGAGTATCAGGAGATATACATATTTTTAAGAATGTGTAGCACGTGTGTGCGTTTTACTTAATTATTATTATTTGTTAAATTAAATTAATTAAAGTTAAAATGAGTTGAAAACTTACTCAGCAGCTGCACCATGTTTGAAAAAGTAAGTGAAGCTTTTAACAAACTCCTCTTTATTTGTGATCTCGTTGAAATGTTCAGGGTTGCCTTTAAGATCTGTATAGTCCAGAAGCGAAGTAGCATTGACGAACAAGTCATGACATGCTCCATAACCTAAAGCAACTTTCGGCTGACTGTTCCCAACACCAACTTTGTTCTCACTCTCCAAAAACAGTAGATGATTCTTCACAGGTGATAATCTTTCATCACCTATGTCATTACGGCGAAAATACATCGCATAAAACAGAATAAAAAATGAAAGAATAGAACCCAATTTCACCGGGGCACCCGCCATTTTTAACATACAATTAAATATTTATGACTACTACTGGAATGATTAGACTTTTAACTTTAACTAGATCCACGTCACCTCATATTTAATATATTGGAATGTAAATATTTAATGTGGATTTAATTCCAACTGACAACCATGCAATCGGCCATTGACTTGCTGTCAAAGTCAAAGTCACAAACCGAAATGACAATGACAAATGATAATGACGAATGATGTGACGTCGAACAACAGTGTGACCAGATTTAATTTAAACATTCTGTTGCCTACATTAGGAGAAAATCCACTGATTGTGAAGGCTTCTAAAATCTAATGTTATGAATTATTTTCTGCGTAATCGTAAACACACCGTAATATTGAAGATTATGTTCACAAATTAATTTAAAGTAATTTTAAAACTAACGGATATCACACTTACGTAAAGTAAATTGCAGATAGATTTTAATATTAGGCAAACAATGCAATCATTATACAATAATATGTATTTAATAGCATTGCAATCTTGATAAACAAATATTATAATTAGTACTTTTGTAAAGTGCACACTTTTAGACATCATGAATTAGAATTTTTTTCGACTTTGTAATGAAAGTATGTCATTCGCGCCAATGGATTCAGATTAATAATGTCTAAAAATACCTATCTCCGCTTTTTGAAGGAAAATACGAAAAGCTGTGCCTTATTTTGTAATCTCTAAAGAAGTCTAAACGCTCTACATTTCCCAAAAAAATTGTTGAGTATGGGCATATCTAAATTAACACTGCGTGGGTTCCAGTGTTTAAGTTTTCTCCAGTTATAATCCAGCGCTAAATATAATTGTTGGACTGGAATAATGCAAACTCGGCATTCTTATTTTACGATCGTGGTAAATCGTCAATAAATTTTTTACATAACTAAAATTTGTTCATGAATATAATACTTGTTTTGCAGAAAGTAAATTGTGAAATTTTGTCACTTAATTAACGCTATTATACCTGATTTACTTGTTATGTTGTACAAAATTATTATCTTTAATTAAATTCACGAGAATTTTATCATTGCACTGTTTACTGCAGTGATTGCGTAAACTTGAAATAAATATTTTATTGATAATTCTATTTTAAAAACTTTATTATTTCTTAACATATTGTACGACTGAATACCTTGACTTGCATAACTTTTTTGGGTGTTATTATTTACATTGTAATTTTCCATCTACATTATTTATTCTTATTATAAAGTATTTTTGTAAAGTAATGTGTTAATAGTCATCAGTCATCATCAGCTCACTATACGTCCCTACTGAGGAGCTCGGAGCCTACCCTAAGTTAAGGATGATTAGGCCATAGTCAAGCACGCTGGCCACGTGCGGGTTTGTTGACTTCACACATATCTTTGTTAATAGTGGATAAAAATAATTACTGTATATTAATTTAAATAACATGTAAATATTTTTATATTACATTTTATAGATTTATAATATAATAAAAAAATATCTTGTAATCTCAGAGTCTATAAGTCACTAAGCAGTACTCTAGTGCAGAATTAGTACAGAAATTTTACACTAAGGGCCGCTTCACTAACCTAGCACGCTTTAGTAACTTCAGTGTAGTGTTTGAGGAACGTTATAGGCACTGGGTATTGACCCGCTATCTTTTTCCGTGCGTTATTAAAAAAAAGTTATAAATAAAACCTTTTTTTAATAAAAAAAATAAATCCTATGGTATTCAGTGAAAATGTAGTTTATGGCAAAGGAATTTTTAAAATCAGTCCAATAATTTTGGAGATTTTTATTTTGAAATATATATTTCGTAATAAAACAACGTGTATATACTGTCTTAAATTAATCACTTGTAGTATAAAACACAAGCTATTGCGCCTAAAGCTTTACGCGCGTCTTGTCCTTCCATTTTAGGCGCGAGATGACCGGTCCCGCCTTTTGCAGAATTATTTTTTCGGCTTTCGAAATCCGTTTGCCACTGCCAGTACTTACCGAGCATTCGTGATTTAATAATGTTTAATTCTATATAAATTCAATATGTATTTATTCTTTTTTTTTTAATTATTTCTGAACTTTATAAAATGTTTTATATTATTTGTAGCCTTTAACATTTGGTTTTAGTCAAATTATTTTCAAAAATTTTTACTTAATTATTGCTTCAGATTGAATATTTTCATGGTTATGGAAATCTTATGTTCTGTTGTATGTTAATACAGGTTGAACCTTGTGTATATTCTCCGTAATTAAAAAACCTTTGACAAATAAAAAAAAATAAAAAATCATAGAGCGCATTTTTTACAGATAAAAAATGAAATTTTTAACTCGGTTCTATAAGCAAAATTACTTAAGACAAATTAATGCACACTAAAGACAGAATTATCATTGCTAGTCGTGTTTTTAACAGTCTGTGTGTAAAAGATAAAGTTTTTTTAAGGTGAAAACTTGAGTAAAAGGCATAAAGGTAGACCTTATACGGCGATCACGTATTGTTGCCGAAATGAATGCTGCAGATGAAATCTGCCGCGAATGTCTGGCGCCGGTGACCGTATACTGACACCACAAACGCTATTGACTTGACACAAAGTTTAACATGAATTTGTTTGTGTTTTTTTTTACATCATTGTTAACACTTACCTGCATATGAACTACTGGCGTACGCCAATATTGTTTTAGATGCAACACCTCTTTGTTGAAATGATGCATTCAAATTTAGACAAGATCGAGTCAAGGTCACAAAGTAAAGTAAGCCACTTACGTATTTTCCAATTTTAACCATTAAACATTTAAAATATTTCATTGTAACGTTTAATGTGCCACAGTTTACGTATGTTTTCAAAACATAAAACATTCTATCGTACTTATAAATATAAGAGTAAATACTCTTATTATAAGGAAAGTCATCTGAACTTGAGATTCTCGACGTTAGTCCCAAAAGATAATGTACAAGTCCATAGCTTAGTTTGTTAAAGGAGGCTACATATCGGGTCGAATGATTCACTCGAGGAGCGAGGTCAGGATATCCAGTTGGCGGGAAATTAATGCCGCTTAGCCTGCAAGTTGTAGCAAACATCGTGCGATATTGACGCTTGCTTCCACTGACTTGTTTTTACTCAAACTAGCTGTCGCCCGTGACTCCGTCGGCGTGGATTAAAAAAAAAGAAATTAGTAGCCTATGTGTTCTTCCAGAATGTGTTCGACATCTATAACAAATTTTAGCGAGATCCATGAAGGCGTTCTAGAGATACCTTCAAACAAACATCCATCCATTCATCCAAGCATTTGCATTTATAATCTACAGAGGAAATATTTGATTATATGGTTTCATTGAAAAAGCTCAGAAACTACTGAACCTATTTGAAAACTTATTTTAATGTTGGCAAGGTACACTATTTTAGTGACATATGCTTTAATTAAAAAAACATTAAATTCATCGCGAACGACGTCACGGGCAACTGCTGGAAAAAAAATTGAACCACTAAAATTATTTTTTTCCTGCCAGTTTCTCTCCATGAGATGCGAATTTGACAATGTTATCTATGAAATTAATAAGTAATCTTCCAGCCTTTTTCACCAAGGAGGATCGGCATACTATGGAGGTACACTACTATACATTTTTTCGGCTTCGTTGTCTTATACGTGGGGTAATAGTCACAAAAAAGGAGACAAACATTTAAACATTTTTACTGATGAGAGACTTCCCTTTTTCGAATAGCATAGAGGTTCGCTATAAATAACATTTAATATTCGAAAAAAAAATCTCTTACATTTACGACACGTTTACATATTTATGAGCTGGATAAATATGCCTGGCTGCATATTTAAGTAATTTTAAATTAATACATTACACGCACTCTCATATAACGGTATTTTTTTTTACTTTTTACGTTATCTTGATCGGTTTTAATTATTTTTTTTCCATGCATATGCTTCGGCTGTGCTTTTGAAATTAAACGTCTTGTTGTACTTGTTTTTTATTTATGCATCATTACAAATATTATTACAATTCTGTATGCAAATCCTTTGAGTCTCGCAATCGAATTAAATAACATATATTTCTTGCGAACGTTTATATATTTTAATGATTTAACGTCGACTCGTCAATAATATAAACTCATATTAATATAAAGATAATTAAATAAGTAGATAGATTTCCGGAGGCCTAATTTAGTCCTCTTTCCCTTCCCACCCTTTTTCTTATAAGGAAAGGATGGGAAGTGGAAGTAGACTTTCCGGATGAGAGGATGCATGGAAAGGGAAAATATTTTATCTTTCTGTGCATCCTCTCCTTCGTCGATTGAAGGTAGGCAACGCATATGCAATTGCGTATATCTATGGGCAACGATAACTTCGCTATTTCAGCGATTTCAGGTGGCCGCTCGCTCGTTTGCCACTTTTTGCGTTGAATACCTGTTAAATATTGGAATATTAAAGGTATTTTGGCGGTGAAAAAATCCTTTAATCACATAAATTTTAACTCCGCTGGTGCAGTGACCCATAGTGGTTATTGGCCTACGACACAAGAGATCGACAAATTCACCTGACCTACGCCTTCTTGTGCTAGTCCATCGCTTGTAGTTCCCGCAGGTCCAGCTCGATGTCGTCTCACCAGCAGTGTTTAGGCCGGCTGATGGGTCGTCAAAATTGCACTTTTAGAATGCTCAATGCATACTTTAGAACGTATACAAATAACACGACATTGATTTGTTACAAAATAACATTTTTTTATACACGCAGACTACGTTTTAAAAGTTGTTTAAAGTATGTGATTTACTTTATAAGGTGAAGTGTTGACACGGTGTTGGCTTAATGCAGATTTGCATGTTAATACTTGACAGCGGGAGATAAATATGCGGTCAAGATTACGAGCACTGTATTTTTTCGGTAAGGATAAAGATCTACGTAAAGGATTCGGTACGAATATTTTAGTTTACAGTTTAAATTAATCACAACTGCGGGTGTTTAATTTTTTTTTTGTTTTAGCAAAAGAAATTTGTTGTAATTAATAAATTTTATAATCTTTGGATGTGTCTAGCGCCATCGACAAAACTTACTCTTTGGTCTCTCTTCGGTAAAATGTCATTATGTAGGTATGTACTAGAATTAATTAAGAAGTAATAAATGATTAAGAATAACTTCTTTTCTATTTATTTCAACAAGAGTTTCTGCCTAAGCATCTAAAGAAAACATTTTTAGACATC